TGTCTGTGGGTCCCGGTATCCCGGTATGCGTGTGCCGGTGCTGAGCCCCGAGCCCCTGGCCCCGCCACCCACGTACTGCTGGTGTGGGCTGCCGACGCACCAGGTCCCAGACTAGAGCTGCTGGCCACAGGAGGCACAGCCTGAGCACTAGGTGGGTGTGGGTCCGGCTCCCGGCTCTGGGCCTCTGAGCTGGCCTTAGCATGGAGGGGGACAGGGGCGAGGGGTTGGACTTAATATCCAGTGGTTCACTCCCCAAATGCTCACCATAGCCGGGGCTGGGCCAGGCCAAAACCAAGAGCTGGGAACTCAATCCAAATCCCTCTTGTGGGTGACAGGGTCCCAAGTTCTTGGGCCAGCATGTGTGACCTGCGAGGAAGTGCCTCTGCAGAAACAAGAACTGGAGTGGGGCTGGGCCTCACACCTAGGCACTCTGGTATGGGATGTGGGCATCAAAAGGCAGAGTAACTGCAATGCTAAACACCTGCCCCTCCTTTTTGAAAGTAAAATCTTATTTATTTGAAAGAGCGAGAAGAGGGAGACCAAGTTCAGCTTTCGGAGGTGCTGCTGAGTAGACTGGCAGGGGCGGCCCCATCTTGTGTCCCTGCCAGCAGCGTGTGAGGGGTCCAGTTTCTCCACGTTCCCAGCGCCGGGCCTTTTCTGTGCTCCGGTCATCGCTGTGGTCGCCATCCTGGGCGTGTTATGGGATAGCTCATCCTGCTTCTGATGGACATTTCTTTCACAACCAGTGATGTTCGGCATCTTTTCTTCTAACTGGTCTCCTGGCCTCTAAGCTCGCCCCTTCCTTTAGTCCATCTGCTGAAGAGCAGGCAGAGTCACTGTGACACACAAGTCTGATCGTGTCCCCCTGGCCAGCACAGACCCCTCCGCACCTCCCCGCTCTCCTCCACCTTCCTGCCCTCCCCTCCCCCGCAACATACACGCTCTGTGCCCCAGTTCCTAGAAAGTCTCTCAGTGGCTCAAATACTCTTCTCCCCCAAACCTCTGCACCTGCCGTCCTCACTGCCTGGGACATCACCCCATGCTCTCCTCCCACCCTCCTGCCTCAGATCCCTCCAGGCACCCTGCCACCTCCCACTCCTGGGCTGTGTGCCTTTTTCTGTGCTCCCCCAGCCCCACCATGTCACGTTCTACTGTCTGCTTTCCCCCCAAACACTGAGACCCACAGGGTCAGGGCCAGGTGTGCAGGCTCAGCCTTGCGTCCTCCGAAGTGCAGTGGGGCTCAGGAGCACGGTGCTAATCGAGCACCTGCGTGGACAGGCGGCAGGGAAGCAGGAAGAGGCCATCTGTGCCTACTGACTGTCATGGGCCTCATTTCTTCTCTGCCTGGGAGCAGCTCCACCCTGCTTCAAATGGCTGTGGTCCAGGGGGTCCCGCCAGTTGCCTACCTGCACCCAAATTTCAGCCATGCCACAGCCTGGGCTCAGGCTGGGTCCCACCACCCGGGGACGCAGCACTTCCCCATCTCTCCATCAGGTTCTTCTCAGAGCAGCTGAGTGACTTTCACTTGCCTCTGGAGTTTGACAACCACCACCTGCCCTGACTCTTGCACTCCTTAGGCTTCCCCCTTTTTTCTTTTGTGCAAATGTCTCCCGCTTCCATGTCTTCTCAGCATTTAACAGCTTAATTCTTCATAAAGGAGCGTCTGGCCTGAGAGTGTGCCGAAGCCAGTGGCCCCTGCTTCTGGCCGTGCTCCCCCATCTCCTTGCAGCCTGGTAGAGGCCAGGTGGGCCTGTTTGTGCCAACCTGGGCCTGTGCCTTAGCTCTAGCCTGTCCTTGCTCTGTGACCTGCAGGAAATGACCTAAACTCTCTGCTCCTCTGTTTATTCAAATTTCCAGCCCTGGGCAACTGTGAGCATGGACTGGGATAATGCACACAGTGTGTGCCCAGTGCTCAACAGTGATCCAGCCCCTGTGCCCCTTCCAGAATCCTCTCCCCCAGCGTCTTCATCACTCACCCAGCAGTCCTCTCATTTCCCCTTTTCTCTCCTGAGGCCCCTTAGAACTGCCTCAGTGCTGGGTCTGGCCGCAGGGTATAATCTCGTCAACACAATACTTAATTAGTATTTATTTAATTTGAAAGGCAGAGACAGAGACGCAGAGAGATCTTTCACCCACTGATTCATTCCTCAAATGCCCACAACAACCAAGGCTGGGCCAGGCCAAAGTCAGGAGCCTGGAACTCCAACCAGATCTACATGGGCAACAAGGACCTAAGTACTTGAGCCCTCACCTCTTTCCAGGAAGTTGGAATCAGAAATGGAGCCAGACTCAAACCCAGGCACACCAGTGTAGGAGGCAGGCATCCCAAGCAGCATCTTAATCACTGTGCCTAGTGCCAGCCCCTCAGCTGTGTTTTAGAAAGGAGGTAACAGAGGCATAAGGTGGGACCTGTCAGAGCTCATGCAGCCTGGACGAGGCAGGCTCCAGCTCCTCTCCACCATGCAATGCCTCTGCTGAGAGACCCAGGCTTCCCTCCAAGGCCCTTTCCAGACCCTGCCAAGTCCTAACTTGCACACTGAATGTGTTCATAATGAACACACTGAAACTCCTAGGAGAAAACTAGGGCGTATATATGTTCATGCTATTGGGGTCAGCAAACACTGCTTTAAGACAGAGAATTTAAGGAAAAGAACTTCTGTTCATCTAAGGACACCATGAAGACAGGGAGAAGGGCAGAACAGATTGGTGGAAGACATTTGTTACACCTGTGTCTGACAGTCTGTCAAGGATGCCTGTGATTCAGTCAGGGCCTCTCCCAGACACGTTCTAAGATGGCACTTGAGCTTAGATTTGCATTTTAGGTCTTCTGCCCATTTTATGGGACCTAAAACAAGTATCTGCAAGGCCCTAAACCCTGAGTTAATTCTCATTTCTCCAAATTGGGCATAAAATTTATGCCCTAAGTGCTTCATTATGGTGTTCCCTGTGAGAATCAAAGACAGACATAATTCACCAAAAATGGATCAGGTGTCAGGATAGGGACTGATGTGTATATTAAGACCCCTTCTGCCCCCTTTTCAAATAATAGCTCCTTAAGGACTCAGGCCTGGCCTTATCTCTAGTCCTTGGTGTAGGCCCAGCACAGAGTGCCCAGGAGTGGGCAGGGAAAAATATTTCCTGGATGAGGTAAGAGCATGAACAAAACTTGAGGGTGGCCGGCGCTGTGGCTCAATCGGCTAATCCTCCACCTAGCGGCGCTGGCACACCGGGTTCTAGTTCCGGTTGGGGCGCCGGATTCTGTCCCGGTTGCCCCTCTTCCAGGCCAGCTCTCTGCTGTGGCCCGGGAGTGCAGTGGAGGATGGCCCAAGTCCTTGGGCCCTGCATCCACATGGGAGACGAGGAAAAGCACCTGGCTCCTGGCTCCTGGCTTCAGATCAGCGTGATGCACCGGCAGTAGGGCGCCAGCCGCGGCAGCCATTGGAGGGTGAACCAACGGTAAAGGAAGACCTTTCTCTCTGTCTCTCTCTCTCACTGTCCACTCTGCCTGTCAAAAAAAACCAAACAAACCTGAGGGTAGAAATGTGCTGCTAAGTATATGGAAATCAGGTTTGGCAGAAGTACAATCAGGGGGATCTTAAATGCCAGGCTAAGGTGTCTGGGGATTACCTTGAATGAAAAGGCAGCCCCAGGAGTTTTGGGGGCATGCATTGTGCCAGTGAAGGGGGAGAGCGAGTGAGCTTTGTGGTTGAAGGTCAAGGGTGGTAAAAGATCTTTCTCTAAGCAGCAGCATTTTAGGATGTCTACTCAATGAATGAGAAAGAGACGAGTAGAGGAAAGAGCAGTTCCAGTGGGAGGAAGGCATGGCCATGGCCGAGGCAAGTTGAACTTGCCAGAGTACTCCTTCCCCTCCTGCCAGAAAGGGCCACCAGAGCAAGGGTTACATGTTATACCCCTCACATTGGTCCCCAGACCAGTGGCGTCCTCGCCATCACCAGAACTTGCTAGAAATACAAAGTCTTGGGCCCCACTGCAGACTTCCCAGATAAGAATTTCTGGGGGATGGGCCCAGAAATCTGTCTATGCAACCCCTTCACAGGGGCAGTAATGTGTGATCAGACATACAAAGCCCTGGACAAAGTGGCCATAGGGATGCAAGACTCCCTGGCCCTTGCTCTCAGAGGCACAGAGCCAGGCAGGTTCAAGCAAAGCCAGGTGGCCCCACCTCCTGCCCATCATTCCTCATTATTGGTTTCAGCCCAGACCGCCTTCATGAGCAGAGGGGATCCACCTGCAGAGAGGAATTTGGCTCCTGGCTCTGCAGAGCAGCTCGACCTAACTCCCTGTCTGCCCATCTGGCTTTGTAGTGGGCTGGACCCCAATCCAAAGACCACTGTGCCTCCAAGTTTGACTCTTGCTTCTTGCCACAGACTTGCCTGGTGGGTCCCCAACCTTTTTCCCACTCAAAGACTCAAGTGGTAGTGGAAGTGGGGCCCTAAAGGCTTAGCAGTTGCTTGTGGCCTATGCCAGGTGATTGACAGGCCTTTCGGGCCCAGGACACCTGGCTGTGGATCAGGCTCAGGGCTTGATTACCCACCCTGTATGTTAGGGCAGTGGTCGGGAGTGGAAAGGGAGGGTCCCTGGCTGGGAGAGGGAGTCCTGGCCTGGCTGGGCCTTTGCTCTGCCGACCTCTCATCCCTGGGCTTTGGCCTTCTGCCCTCAGAGGTGAGTTTCCTGTGGGGGAGGTGCTCGCATACTTGTGCTGGCCCAGGAGTCCCTGGCACCCGCATTTTGTGCGGAGGCTTTTGAGGGGGATTTGTTCGGGAGGTGGAGGGGCCCTTGCATTCCCAGCTCTGGGAGGGAGAGGGGAAGCGGTGATACTGACTGTTCCTTCTGCTCCTCCCGGAAAGCCCTGTCTTACTCTTCGGATGAAATTCCAGCTACTGTGAGGTCTGAGTTCCTGGCTTTAAGCTTTACCCAGCCCCAGAGCGGCCCAGGCTGGAGGCCGCCCTGCAGGCATTCACCTCACCCCGCTGCACCTCACCGAGCTGCAGCTCTGGGGGCCCCAGGTAACAGGGAGAATGCGTGGAAATGTATGCAACCAACCAAGACTCATGGGAAGATGAGAAGGAAACGGTTTGGCTCTGAAAGAGGCTGCAGCTCCAACAATTTTTACTTTAGATGCAAATATCCACAGCATGCCAAAACTAGCAGTACCAAGTTTTTGCAGTGGCAAATCTCTCTCCCGCTCTTTGTTATTTGCCAGTTCCCATGCTCCTCAGAAGATGCGTGTTTTCCACATGGTTTTGAGCCTTATTAACACACCTTGTAGTTTTCCATGCCCATTCCAGAATCCTTGCTCTTTTTACAGCTGTATACTATTCCTCTGTGGGTATAGACACTCTTACTTCCCTCCTGTCTGAATGGTCTTTTGGGTTTTGGCCTGCACTGTGATGTTTCAGCTTGTATGTTAAGAGGGTTCTTTAAAAAATTCATGGAAAAGTGGAATTAAACATTGAAGGGTTTTGCACCAAAATAACCTTTTCTTTTAATTCAATTTCCCATGAATTTTTTGCAGTTCCCTCAAATTGCTTGGCATATGTCCAGTTGCACCCTGGCATAAATCCTGCAAGTGGAAATACTAGGCCAGAGTGTGCTGCCCTGGTCCTGGTGGTGGGGACTGCCTACCTTCTCCTGTGGGGAAGAGGGGAAGGAGCCCACTGGGGCTCGTGCCTCTAGCTGCTCTGTGCTTCCAGCTGTTTGATCATCGACCTGTGCTCACCCACTCTGAGCTCTGGTTTTTAAAATCAGTAGAATGTGGCCCACTCACTTGTGGGGTAAAATGAGAATCTGCTGCCTACATCATTTAGTTCAGGGCCAGCCGCAGGGTGAAAGTGATCAAGATGTCCTCTGCGTCTTCCACAGGGCGGGCAGCCCGGGCTCTCCCTGGTGCCTGCTGGAGCCTGTGTTTAGAGCCAAGGACTGAGCCCGGCTGCTGAGCCATCGGCCTGCACTGGGATGGCCACTGGCCACGCCACCAGCTGTGGTGTCTCTGAGACTCCTGCTGTGCTCCGGTCTCCACTGGGCCTTCCTAGGGTAGACTGTGAGGGAACCTCCCTGAAGGAAGCTGCCCACAACTAGCCACACTGTTTTCTATCTGCAGCAGTGGGAGCATACTCTTTCATGACAAAGGGAATTAAAGTAATCTCACTTTGGTGCACAGATGTTTGAAATCCATGCATATGAGGAACGTTCGAAAAGTTCAGGAAAAGTACAGAATGTAAAAAGCTGATGTGTGGATTTCAGTTTTTGCACCTATCTTGATGTTCTTGCACAGACTATGGGAAGTGCCCTTGCCCTAGCCTTACACAGTACTGAGTATCATACTTGTGTGATCCCACTGCGTTCTCAGCATTGTCCCAGAGGGTTCGAGGTACTAGTCTCCACCAAGCCAGCCTCCTCCCTGCCATACACCCTGGCCCCACCCACCCCCTGCGAAGAATGTGTGTCTGCAGGAACTTGAGTCGCCCTGTGAGCGCTCCTCTGGGTGCCAGGGCCCCTGTGTGCCTGCGGTGTTTCCCGTTGCCCTGCTTTACACTGGGGATGAGCCCTACTCTGAAACATGTGTGGCCAGAGTAGAAGGTGAGTTACATTTTTCTGTGGCCAGGAATGGAGTCCATCTGTGAAAGGAAACCCTTAAACCTGCTACCCCCATCTCCAAACGCTCGCGTGAGGCTTTGCCCCAACGCCGTGGCTGCCAGCACTGGGTATGAAATGTGAGCTGGCAGCCAACCTTCTGCCTTCTCTCGTCCTCATGCACAGCCCCCCGTGGTGCCTGTGTGCCTCTTCTCTTTGCTGCTACAGGGCGTTGGGATGGACTGGGGACCCAGGATCTGCAGGGTGGATTTCTTTGTGGAGTCCTGAAGCAGTGGCCCAGGTGCTTCCTTGCCCTGAAAACATGAGCGGAGAGAAGGAAGAAGCCACCTTCAGTATACTCAGGGTTTATGATGAACCAGAAGAGATGAGGACTATGCCAGAAAGCTCTGGGATTTCCTCTTGGCACCAGCTGGACTGTCTGCCTGGAGCCCCGCAGCTGCCCCCAGACCCCCAGAGGCAGCATGGCCCAGCTTCTCAAGACGGAAATGAAATGTCCCAGATGCAGTGGTGCCTCCACGCCCCAGACCCATCTTGGCCCAAGACCACACAGCTGGAACCAGGAGAGGCAGCAGGGTCCAGTCCAGGGTAGGTGTCTCGCTGGACTAAGACCAAGTGGGGCGCAGTGCACTGTCGGGGGAGAGGGAATCTCAGCACGGAGCTCTGAGTTTCATGTTCTGTCTGCTCTCTCTTTCCTCCCCATCCGTCGTAGCTCTCTGCCAGGATCTGCGTTTGGTAAGTAGCAGCTGTGACAATGCCAGTGGGGTGGGGTGGTGGACCAAGCCAGCCGGGACAGGGGTCAGGAGAGCAGCCTTCTCTCTGGAGCGAGGGACTCCTGACACTCTCTCTGGGCATTGCTGTTTCCTTGCAGGCCAGCCCTGTTCTTCATCCCCTCCTAGCGAAGTCCAGGCGCTCCTCAGAGCCATTGTGAGTGTCGTCATCTTGTCCTTAACACTCAGGATCCTCCCTTTCCCAAGTCAGGGTGTGTTCACGCTCTCCTCCCCATCGGTGGTGGTGTCCTGGGCCACCTGCTCTTCCCACCATCTTGATCTGTGGGGCCTTCAGCTGACATGAGGCGTGGGCACCAGGTCCTCTTCAAGCGTTAAGCTCTAGGGGACCAGGAGCCAGGCCCTGCCATAGGACAGATGGATGCTTGGGAATTCAGTTAGAGACCAGAGGCAGGCTTTCCCTTGGATTATGGTAGGCTGTGGCCATGACAGTTTCATGGCTGCTCACTGGCTCCTCTCCCCAGCCTCCTGTTCCGGATGAACTGGTGGTCAAGAAGCAGACCCCAAGTGGCTTGTGGAAGGTTGGCACACTCCGCCATAGAAAGCGAGTCCATGCCATGGCCATCAGTGGCTCGACCCACCATGTATACACGTGTGGCTCTGGCTACATCAGGGTGTGGGATGAGAGCGCTCTGCATGCCTGGGACAAGCCTCCCCAGGCCCAGCTGGACTTTGAGGTGAGCGGCATCCAGGTAGGGCTGGGGGGTGCAGACAGGGCCTCTGTCACGAGACCCTGTGTCAGTGGTACGAGATCTGCGTGTGTGCTGTTCCTGCAGGATCCTCACAACTGCGTCCTCACCTGCAAGCTGTCCCCCGACGAGCGGAGCCTGATCACGGGGGGCATGTCTCAGACCCTGACCCTCTGGGACCTGGTGCCCACGCCTCGTGTCAGAGCACAGCTGGCTTCCACGGGTCCCGTGTGCTGCTCCCTGGCGGTCTCCTCTGACGCCCATATCTGCTTGGCTTGTTTCAGAGGACTTGTTGAGATCTGGGATTTGCAGAACCAGATCCTGATCAGGTATGACCTCTCTCCAGAGCCCCTCAGCTGCACCCCTGGGGGGCCTTGACGGTGAGATCCTGTGCCCCCTCTGGGCAGCAGGCTGGGCCAAGTGTGGGGAATCTGGCTGGGGCTTCCTGGCCCTGAAAATTCCAGGAGAACCAAACCTGTGAAAGCCTGTGAACCTCCGAGCTGTTTTTCCCAGGAAGCTTGAAGTCCCCAAATACGGGTCCCGATGCATTGACGTCGCAGGCAATAAGTTCTGGACGGGAGGTGAAGACACCACTTTGTACTCCTGGGACCTGAGGAGCTCCGAGAGGCTGCAGCGGCACGATTTACAGCACGAGGTGGGCTCTGGGTGCATGTAGGGGCGGGGTTCAAGTTCAAAGAGGTGGGCATGAGTGGCAGCCTAGGCAACTTTGAGTGCTGACCCCAAACCTGGTCCCCAGCAGATCCTTACCATTACTCATGACCCCAGTGAGGAGTGGGTGTTAGTGGGCTTGAGAACAAGCAACATTGTCATCCTGCACACTCAGCGGACAGAGAAGTTCAAGATTATCAGACAAAAATATGTCCACCACCACAACCTCAAGTTTGCCTCCTGTGGTGAGTGAGCAGCCGGGGGACTCCTGCAGGTGCTGTTTTGAATTTGCTTTCTGATCTGTCTTTGCTTTTCTGGCTCCTTCTGTAGCCATAGCTTCCTACACAGACTGGCAGCCTGAAGACAGGTAGACAGAAGAGACACCAAGCCCCCTTTGATTGTCCTGTTGTTCAGCATGGTCCTGCTTGGGGTAGGAGGGTGGGGACAGATGAGGGAAGGGTTTGGGTCATGACTGATCTTCACGGGTAGGAAAATGCAAGCAGAGAAAAGAGTGGCCCTTCCCATGGTCGAGCTGAGAACGGGCACTGGTTGGAACTGGAAGCAGACTTGGTCTCTGGCTTCTTCACCTGGTCTTTCCTTCGCCAGGGAGCTACTTTGTGACCACACAGGACGAGAGCATCCACGGCATCGCGGCACCCTCTCTGCAAAGGTTGTTTCAGGTACCGGAAGGGGGCTGTGCAAGGCCAGGCACTCAGAATTTGTAGTCAGTTGATGGGTCCCAGAGAGTGCAGGGAAGTAGCTGTGAGGCGGCATCCTGGGCCAGCTGTTATTGGTGGGCCTGAGGACTTAGAGTCCTGTGAGCTCTCGGGCTCCATGTTAGCCCTGACACCTGGCCCTGACTGGACAGTGATCGGGTCTCCACCGAGCCTTGTACTAGCCTTAAATGAAGCTTCCTGCCGGCCCAGCCCCACCCCTCCAGGTGATCCCTCTGTCGGCCCCTCCCCTCTAGGTGGAGGAACCTTCAGAAATCCTGTGTTGCGATGTGTCCTCTGACAACCGGTATCTGGTGACGGGCAGCAGGAACAGTGCCACGGTGTACCAGCTCTTGTACTGATGGCCATGTGCCTTACACCTGCCCGAGGAGACCCACCACGGCCATCATAGCTGGGGCGGGGCGGGTGTGTGACCTCACTTTGCTGGACAGCTTCAATACCTGCCACCCCTCCACCTTGGCCTTGCACTTCCAGGTTTTTAATAGATGGCTTGGGCTTTTTTTCTACCAGTGATACATGGGTTTTGGTGGGAACTGGCCTCTGTAGTTAATAAAATAGCAAAGAAAAAAAACCAATATGGCTTGGGCATGTGTCCATTTCTTGCAAATAAGTCATTGTGCTGGGTAGCTGAGGCCTGTGGTCAGCACGTGGAGGCACAGTTTCCCTCTGTTCTTGTCAGTGTAGGGAAAAAATTTTAGACCAGACTTAGTTTTGTTTGTGACCTCTCTTGGGCAGCAAGGAATTTTTTGGATTCTTAAGAATGTGCAAAAAAAAAAAAAAATATATATATATATATATGGACTATCAGGCCTGTATATCTGCTGATTCAACCAAATGTGGGTGGAAAATATTCAGAAAGAAATAGTACCTACCCTGAACCTGTGCGATGCAGTGTGGCAACTCTGTAGATAGCACTGACACTTGGTGCCAGGCAAGCTGCCTACCTCCATGTCGCAGGATCGTTTCCTTCGTGTCTGAGGCTATGACAGTGCAGTCTTTTATCTGGCTGATAAAACCCAACTCCTGAAAAAATACTACCTAAGAGGGTACTTTGAAAAGTTCTTGGGAAGTATTGAACAAAAAAATGAAATGCATAGTCTGTTCATAAGGTGCATTTTCATGGACTTTTTTTGAAGGGCTCTCATTCTTGTGGACTTCAAAAATCCCATTTCCCATGAACTCTGGAAATAGCCTCACCAGCTTGCTTTCCAGTTCTCTGCCTCCTCCTCTTGGCTCAATGTTGGCGTGGCTGAGACATCCTGGAAAAAAAAAAAAAAAGCCATGGGAGTTACCAAGATCAAGTTCAGAATCGTGGTAATCTGGAGAGATACCAGCTCACAGCAAGATAGAGGAGGGCTTCAGCTCCACCTGCAATATTTACTTCTTCAGAAATAAATCATGGCTCATCAAAATTAAAAAAAGTGAGCAGATAACTCACAGAATGGTGGAAAATATTTGCAAGTCACGTTTTTGGCAAGGAGCTTGTATCTGCAAAAAGGGACTCATAACTCAACAGTAAGACAAGCGATCTGATTTTTGAAAGGGCAAAGGATTTGAGTAGATGTTTCTCAGAGATGCTCTGCATTATTAGTCCTTCGAGAAAGGCAAGTCAAGCCACCGGGAGGTCTCACTTCCCGCCCTGTAGGAAAAAAGACGGTAAGTGTCGGTGAGGACACGCAGAACCTGGAATCCTCTTGCACTGCTGCTGGGCTTGTAAACTGGTGCAGCCACCTGGACAGCTGGACAGCTTCAGAATGCTAAACAGAGGTACCACATCACCCAGAAACTCCACTCCTACATACGCTTGTCCACCCAAGATAATCAAAAACTAAGGCACAGCAATTGGGAGCGACAGATTGAAAGAACTCTAAAACCCTTGGGAAAGAAGGTGAGAGTCCCAGTTACCGGTAGTTTTAGAGAAGCATCTGGATTAACTACTGCAAGGATATTAATCAGGTATACAATTTACAGGCAGATTAAGCATGTGTTGGTCAGCTCTTCACTACCATGATCAAATAGTTTTGTGAAAAGAGGTTTATTTTGGCTTAAAGTTCTGGAGGTTTGTGGTGCAGGATTGGGCAGGCCCCACTGGTGCAACCTCAGGGGACGGTGTTCTTGCTGGCAGTGTCCTGGGGTGGCACAGAGTATGACATGGTGAGAGACAGGGAGAGTGCACATCTGTCTGTACTTCTCCTTGTCAAGCCAGCAGGATTCAATCTGATCACCCCAGCCATCATAGTTGGATTAAGTTTCCACCCTCTTGGGAGCCAAGCAGTGTAAGTTTGGAAAAATCATATTCAAGAACTAACAGGAAAAATAATACGTGTACAGGATAATAAAATAAAAAGAATAAAAGAAAATCAACAAAGAAAAGGTAAAACAGAAAAGCTTATTGAAATGGTAGATTAAAATCCAAATATATCAGTAATTATATTAAATGTAAAAGGATTAAGTAGTCCTATTAATCTGTGTAGATTATATGACCAATTACAAAATCTGTTATATATATTTTAAAAATTTATTTTTTATTTGAAAGGCAAAGCTATGGAGAGAGGAGGAAAGATAGATCTTTCATTTGCTGGTTTACTCCCTAAATGGACACAACAGCCAGGACTGGGCCTCTCGGGTGTGAAGCCAGGAGCCAGGAGCTTCTTCCAAATTGCCCACGTGAGTGCAGGGGCCCAAGCACTTGGGCCATCTTCCGCTGCTTTCATAGGCACGTTAGCGGGGGAGCTGGATTGGAAGTAGAGCAGCCAGGACTTGAACCAGCATTCATATGGGATGCCAGTGTTGCAGGGGAGGCTTAATCTGCTATGCCACCATGCTGGCCCCCATATGTATCCTTTAAACATCTATTGAAAAGGCAGAGTAATAGAGATCCTCTATTACTCTATTGTTGGTTCACTCTTTGAATGCCCTTACCAGCTGAGACAGGACCAGGCCGAAGCCAGAAGCCAGGAAACTCCATTTGAATCTCCTACATGGATGATAGGGACCAAAATATTTGAGCCACCACCCAGGGTACACACCAGCAGGAAGCTGGATTGAAATTAGAGATAGGCCCCCATTCCGGCACTTTCGTTTAGGATGTGAATGTCCCAAATGGCTTAACTCACTGTACCATGATGCCCACCTTCCTGTATGTTTAAAAGAGACATTGTGGCTGCTAGCATAAGGCCAGGGCAGCCTTAGGAGTGAACCAGCAGATGGAGAATTTATTTCTCTCTCTCCCTCACCCACCACTCCCTGGCCACTGCCTTTCAAACAAATAAATAAACCAATCTTTTTTGTTTGCTTTAAAGATTTATTTATTTATTTGAAAGAATTACAAACAGAGAGAGGAGAGGCAGAGAGAGAGTGAACCATCCACTGGTTCACTCGCCAATTGGCTGCAACAGCCAGAGCTGTGCCAATCCAAAGCCAGGACCCAGGAGCTTCATCCGGGTCTCCCACATGGGTGCAGAGGCCCAAGAATTTGGGCCATCTTCTACTGCTTTCTCAGGCCACAGCAGAGAGCTGGATCGGAAGTGGAACAGCCAGGACTCGAACTGGTGCCCATATGGGATGCAGGCACTGCAGGCAGCAGCTTTACCTGCTATGCCATAACACCAGCCAAAATAAGCCAATCTTTTAAAAGCAAGTTAAAGCATTAGGATACAGAAAATGTGGCAATAAAGAATACAAAAAGTTGGCCGGTGCCACAGCTCACTAGGCTAATCCTCTGCCTGCTGCGCCAGCACCCCAGGTTCTAGTCCCGGCTGCTCCTCTTCCAGTCCGGCTCTCTGCTGTGGCCTGGGAAGGCAGTGGAGGATGGCCCAAGTGCTTGGGCCCTGCACCTGCATGGGAGACCAGGAGGAAGCATCTGCCTCCTGGCTTCGGATTGGCGTAGCGTGGCGGCTGTTTGGGGAGTAAACCAAGGGAAGGAAGACTTTTCTATTTCTCTCCCACTGTCCAACTCTGCCTGTCAAAAAATATATATATATAAAAAGTTAATTCATAAATACACTAACTCAAAGCAGTGAGTTTATTAATATTAGACAACATATACTATAAAGCAAAAAAATATTGGACATAAAGAACTCTTCATAAGTGTTTGGATTCAATTCATTGGGAAGATGCAAGCATTCTGTTTATGTATTTGGAGCCTATGTTAATAAATGCATAAAGAGGGGCCGGTGCTGTGGTGCAGCAGGTTAACGGCCAGGCCTGAAGCGCCAGCATCCCATATGGGCGCCGGTTCTGGTCCCGGCTGCTTCACTTTGATCCAGCTCTCTGCTATGGCCTGGGAAAGCAGTAGAAGATGGCCCAAGTCCTAGGGCCTCTGCACCCACATGGGAGACTGGTAAGAATCACCTGGCTCCTGGCTTCAGATCGGCGCAGCTCCGGCCGTTGCGGTCAATTGGAGAGTGAACCAGGGGATTGAAGACCCCTCTCCCTCTCCCTCTCTGCCTCTCCCCTCCCTCCCTCCCTCCCTCTCTCTCTCTCTCTCTCTTTCTCTGCCTCTCCTCTCTCTCTCTCTCTGCCTCTTCTCTCTCTCTCTCTCTCTCTGCCTCTCCTCTCTCTGTGTAAGTCTGACTTTCAAGTAAATAAATACACCTTTAAAAAAAAGTAAGCTCTTTAACCGCCGTGCTAAGCGCTATTCGGTCTCCTGTAGTCTTGTCATATTTCTGGGGATTCCCAACTTTTCCATATCTTCTTTTCTCTGGTTCCAAATTAACAAGAAGACCCTACCCCACCACTAGAATTTTTTAAAAAAGATTTATTTATATGAGAGGTAGAGTTAGAGACAGAGAGAGAGACAGAAAGGTCTTCCGTCCATTGGTCCACTCCCCAAATGGCTGCAAAGGCCGGAGCTGCACTGATCTAAAGCCAGGAGCCAGGTGATTCTTACCAGTCTCCCATGTGGGTGCAGGGGCCCTAGGACTTGGATCATCTTCTGCTTTCCCAGGCCATAGCAGAGAGCTGGATCAAAGTGAAGCAGCCGGGACTAGAACCGGCGCCCATATGGGATGCTGGCGCCACGGCGCCGACCCCTCGCCACTAGAATTTAATTCGATATGTTCAAGCCCAGACTGCTCCTGGGACTGATTCCTCTTCTGCCCCTTGATGGCCTCCAGGAATGTCCCTGAACTTTTGATCTTTTTTCGAGATGTGACAATGTGTTTAGAACATCGCTCATTCCTTTCCATGTGTTTTGAGACATCAGTTTGTTCTGGGGATTGGGGTGAAGGAGAGAAAATTGTTCCCATCCTCCTCCCCATAGACTAATGCTCTGGGACCGGGTGTGCAAGTGGCAGAGGGGCAGTCACTGGGACTGCCTCCTAGATGTCCAGAGGACAGAAGGCCCTCCCTGCCTGGCCTCTGTCCTGGACACATTCCTCCACCAGGGGGCATCTGCCCGGCCCCTGGCACTGGCTCATGAGGACACTGTGCCCCTTGGCTCCTGTACTTCTCCAGGCAGCCAGGCAGCTCCAGGGTGTGCCTACCTCCTCCAGGGTTCCCTGGGCCTCCGTGAGCAGAACCAACCAGCCAGGAGGACTGGGGGCATCCATGGGGCCAGGGGCCATTGGAGCTGGGGCCAATGGGACCAGAGACACATGAGAATTCCGGCAGGAGGGGAGAGTGAAGGGGCAGAGGGTGGCCCCAAGCTGGGTGGGATGGGAGAGTCTGGAGATGGAGCACACAGGCTCCCCCTGACCTCTGCACAACCTCAGGAGTAGGGGTGGGAATCAGAGCCCCACCCACCAGGCAGCTCTCTGTGCCGAGACCCTCCAGCTGCAGTCCCCACCCTTCTTGGTGCTGCAGCTCTTCTGTGAATCCTTGCTGGAGGACATTAGCCCACCCTGGGGACAGCATGCCGTCCCTTCTCAGCCACCTCTCTTCCCTCACCCCCATCAGCTGCTAGTCCATCCCTGCCTCAGTTTACCTCTGAGAGATCATCTTTATGCCAAAGAGTGGCCTGAAGAATGTGGTTTTGTCTGCAGCTCACAGCATGATTTGTTCCAGTTGCTGCTGCTGGAGCCTCAACAAAGGAGGTCTTGTATTGGCAGAGCCCTGGTCTGCTGCTCTTATTCTGAGTGACACAGCTGTGGCTGGGCAGAAGGGCCGGGATGTTTGCTGTTGGTTTTTCCTCCAGGGCCCTGTGGTTGCTATCAGGGTGGAGTCTGAGTCCCTGAGGCTCATCTGTCTCGGGGACTCTGCACCTGCTACCTGATGTCTGCCAGTGTCTGTCCTTGCATATTTCTAGGTGTGGAGCCAGGGTGGGTTTTGAAAGCTGGGTTGAAAACCTTCTGCAGCCATCCCTACTACCTGTGTTGGCTTGGGAATTGACATTGTGTGCTTCCATTCCCTCATGCACAGAACAGGGCAATGCTGGTCCTGACTCTGTAGGGGTCCAGTGGGGTGGTCTAGGCAAAGGGTTCAGAGTGAGGCCCAGGACCCGGAAGTGCTCAGTAGCTATGAGTAACTATTGTGGTATCCACCACGAAAGCTGAGCTCACACAAATAATTTATCAGAATGTCAAAGAATATCACACACTGTCGGGTGCCAGGGAGCCAGCTGAGGAGAAAACGGATTCTTTCAGCCCTGTGAGGCATGGCTTTCCATGGGAGGAAGGGGTCTTGGACACAGTTGTCTTGGCCAGGAGTGGCTGGTTTACAGCGCTGCACAGCTGTGGTGTCCTCATCAGGTACCTGGGGGAGGTGCCTAAATGTGCAGTCAAGAAGGTCCACATTTTCTCATTCAATGCATTTTTCTTTCTCACTAGTTTGCATTCCGTGCTCACTACTTGCAGTGTCCCTTACTACTTAAAAAAAAAAAACAAAAAACTAATAATTCACATGAGTCACTCATTAACATGCACAATTTGATGTTTTTTTTTGTATATTTATCATAATCCGTTTTTAAGCATTTGTGCAGTGTCACTGTACAACCCGTATCGGAATGTTTTAGCATCCCCCAATAGAAGCCCTGTGCCCATTAGCAGCCTTGCACTCTTACCCACCTCCCAACCTTGAGACAACCACATGTCCACTTCGTCTCCAGAGATTTGCCTATTCTGCATGTTTCTATTAAGTGGGATCATATGACATCTATACTTATGAGCACGATGTACCCCTGATTCAAGCGCTGAAGATACGACCGCATTTCTGTGCTTACTTGCCCAACATGCACAGTCGGGAGGGACTCGTGAGGAAGTAAGCAGCTCATGCCGAGGGGAGTTCTACAAAGGCACTGGCCAGCACTTGGGTCATGTGAGAGGCAGACACCATGGACTGTCCGGGACTGGAGCACAAAGGGGCAGCTGGCTAAATGTGAGTAAAGCCAGTAGGCCCCTGCACGTGGATCCATATGAGTTTTCTGGTTTTGATCACCACTTTACAGTTATGTGGTGTTAACATCTGGGGTAGGTGGGTGGGTGAAAGGTATGCAGGTACTTTATTTTCACAACTGTTTCTAAGTCAAAAATTTGCTTTAAAAGCAGAAATTAAAAGTTAACAACAGATGACTAAATATAGAAGCCACCAGCTTTACTCCAGAGATTCGGAATGAGTAAGTCTTGGAAATAAATGGGCTTGGGGAGTGAGCTTTCAATAAGCTCTCTGGGTATTTCCAGTGCTTAGGAATACACTCCCCTAGAGTAGGAGACTTAACATCTCTTTCTCTTATTCAGTCAGGAAATATTTGAATAGTCAACACATTTCTGGGCAGTAGGTGCATGGGGAGGGAAGGGGCTGGGTCTAGACAGTCTTCTAAGTTTTTACATCAGGACATTCATGTGCTGACATCCACGCTGTATTTTTAAATGCTCCCTATGAACCAAACACTTTTAAACAGAATCCCCCAGTTCATTGACTCAGAATGTATTTATGGATGAGTTTGTGTGAGAGAGACGTTGAGGGTATGAAAAATAAAACAGTTCCTGCCCCTGAGAGTGTGTGGTCCTTTGGAAGGACCTACACTGACAACTGAGGGACTAGTTAAGCAGAGCATGGTTCAGGTTCAGGGGGAAGGGGCGGGCAGCCCTGGGAACAGCAGGTTGTAGGAAGCAGGGTGGCGTCCCGACACTGAGTGCCAGCCAGAGGCGGTGCATGGCACCTCTCATCCCGGCTTACTGGAGGTGGAGATGAGCTGTTGGGCTGCTGGAATGCAGGTGCACGGGCAATCCAAGAGGCAGTTGGGAGGTGGTTCTGAGCCGAGAGGACCGTTGGGAAGTGAGGATGCGGTTGCAGTCGATGGGTCAGGGGGAACAAGAGTCTCATGAGCAAAACGGGGGAACTGGGAGGGGATGCTGGTTTGAGAAGCATGGGGGTCGAGGGGATGCTGGTTTGAGAAGCATGGGGGTCCTGTGTCTGCCATGCTTGGAGACACCAAGGACAGATACCTGCCCCCCAGGATCCCACAGTCCACGGCAGGAGACCAGCAGGTTCACGAGGAAGGAGCCTTCTGGGTAGGATGAACTGAGTGCCCTGCTGGGGATAGCAGGGCGGAGCTGCCCAGGCTCTGGCGAGCGTTCGGGCCTGGGAGGTGGGACTGGGTGGTTATCGGGGGGAGGACCGATGTTCATGTGGACACATGGGCCTTTGGGAATGTGAGTCTGTTGGACAAAGGAGAAAATTAAAGCTTGGGACAGAGAATTGAAACTTTGTCGCACAACAGGCAGAAAATGAATTAGGAAGGGATAAAGTGTGGCCTGCAGGTCCTGGAGTGACCCAGGCAGCGTCCTGGGCAGTCTCACCTTGGAGGTCATGGAGAGAGGCTGGGACAAGGGTGCCTGAGCCAACAACAGCCTGGCCTGAATTCCTGCCATTGCCCACTTGGTCCTTGAGTTTTTTCATCTTTAAGTCACCAAACAAAACCCATTTCTATGCAGTCTTGTAAAATTAAACTCTCCTGTGTAAAGAAGTCTACTAGCTATGAAATGCTCATTGAATGCTGCTGTTAATTAGAGGGCAAGAAAAGACTGAAGGAGCAACTCAAGGGACTACAGAGAACGCCAAGGAGGTGCCCAGGCACTGAAGCCCTGGGGATCAGCGTGGCAGGAGCAGAATGGAGTCAGGACACGGGGTGGCCAGCGGAGGCCGGGTATGTGGCGTGCGCCATCGCCGACACTCAGCGTGGCCTCAGCAAGAAGCTTCTGGTAACCGCGCCCACTCCCGTATAGCCAGCTCCGGCTCACAAGAGTCTGGTTTACATTCCCAGTTGGGATCTGGACCCTGCCGGATGCTGATGACCTTGAGATGAAAGAGCTTCAAGCCTCGTCCCAAGGCCCAGACTCCTCACCTCCCATGAGTCTGCGAGCTCCAGCCCAGGGTCTGCATTAGCTCTGCCTGGCCAGAGTCCTCACCTGAAATCAGCGCCTTTCCACTCCAGCGTCACTCCCCACTGCTGCCCAGCCCCTACTGGTGCCCTGGTCACAGGGGATGCCTTCCCTGCCCTACTAGGGCTTTTCACTCTGCTTGGTCATGGGGTCTGAAACACAGTCCCTGCCTCCACCAGCTGTCCTGCTCCTGCGCAAGCCCAGGCTGCAGGAAGGCTTCCAGGGCTGCGTGTCCACTGGGGTCCTTTTCTCCCCTCTCTGCTTTCCTAGGTTCCAATAAGGTTCCACAGCATGGCTCGAGGTGAGACACCGTCCTTGGCTGACACCACAGGTGAATGTCCTGAGTTATATATGAACACAGAAGCTTACCTGGGATCCCCCAGGTCATATGGGAAGCTCCATGGCCCCACCAACCTCCTGCCACTGTTCACTGCCATCTTGTGCCCAGACACAACTCTGGGCTATAAGAGCAGGTGCAGCAGGAGTCAGGGTCATGAGGTCTGTGCTATCCCACCCAGTCCATGGCCAATGACCTTGAGTGAACAGATCCCTTCCTGTGGGCTTCAATCGCTGTGACCTATAACCTGTGCAGAACTGGAATCTCCCAAGGCCCTTTCTGGACTCCAAGCCCAGCATTTTTTCAAACTTCAGTGTGCACTTGAAGAATCTGGCAAAATGCAGATTCTGATCCAGTAGGCTTGGGGTGGGTCTGGAGGGTCCGCCACTTTGGCAAGATGCCAGGTGACCTTGACACTGATGGGCAGTGAACTTGCCTTGAGTTGGGGAGGTCTAGCCCTTGCGAAGCTGCTGCAGCTGGCCCTCCACTTCCTCTTTCCTTGTTGAAGTTCCTGGGGCGCTGTAAAGAGCCAGAGGTTAGGGCTGCTCCCAGGCCCGCCGACTCACAATTTGTAGGGGTGGGAACCTGGCGCACAAAGCGATGGTGGTCAAACTCCCCAGGTGACTCCAACATGCAGGAAAGGCCAAGAACCGCACTGCTGAGGCCGAGGACTGTGCCCACGTAACGCTGCTGTCTCTGCTGCCCCCTTGTGGCCATTGCATCCCCTCACCGTCAGATTTCAAAAGGGGGTCAAAGGCAGCCTTGACAGGTGCTGACAGGCTTCCCTGTAACGGCGGGAGCTCAGCGTGCAGGGGGTGAGGGAGCCCCCTTGTGAGTGAGAAACCTTTCACACCTGCTGGGCCGGAAGACCTGAGAGAAAGCAGGGTACTGGGGGAATAGCTAAGACCCCAGGGCCTGACGCACCTGCCAGCCAGGAGCCACCAGCTGGAGCCCATAATGTGATTCACAGGAAAGCGATTGGAAGGGCTGTGGCGGCTGATGGAAGGCCTTGGCAATGGCCAGGCAGGGGTTTTTCTCAGGCTCCCTTAGTGGGTGAGTGACCCTCAGAGTGAGGACTGCACACCAGGGGCTCACCTCGTGCTGCATCCCAAATGCTCTGGTCTGGGAGCTCTGGATTTTCTCTCCTGGCTAAACCCAGGTGAGGTTCTGGGGGTCCTGCCCAGAAAGACTGGAGGTACCCAGTGGGGAGGGGTCCCCAGCTAGGAAGGGGGAATCATCACAGATGCTGCAGAGGCACAGGGGCAACCTTCACTCTGGGGGCCTTGATAAGCACACAGCCTACTGTGCCCCTCCATCAGGGCACCCCAGCCCTCTCATCATGGTCAGGCTTGCTTTGTGAGCCCTGCCCCATGGCCAGCCCTGAGCCTTGGGCTCCCTGCCCAGCCCCGGGGTGAACTTGGTCCTGCCCCAGAGCCCGCCGGGAACCTTCCTTTGCATTGTTTCTGTTTCCCAGGGTGGCTTCCCTGTTATGGGCTCAAGGTGGCTTGAGCTTAGCTGAGCCCCCTGCAGCAGGTGCATAGGAGGTGTTTCCCATGTATTGAGCTCTGGGGTCCAGATTGTGGGTGGACCTCGGCAGGAGTCAGGGAGCCAAGGTCAAGGTCTGGGGCCCAGAAGCATTGTGGGAAACCCAGCAGACAGCAGAGAGGGAGGCCAGAGGCAGGCTGGTTCTTGTAGTCGGAGCAGCGCTGTGACCAGGTGAGTTAGGAGGGAGGGAGGAAGAGGAAGCAGGTGGGGCGGGGGGAATGGGGTGCTGGCTGTGTCTGTCCCTTTGCAGGGAGATGCCTGTCCCTTCTCTTCCACTTCTACCTCTGCTTCCTCTTCAACGCACAGCCTGGGCATCACCTCCCCAATCAGAGCCGCTGTGGGAGACTGGCTTGGCCTTTGGTCCGCCTTTCCCCTGCCCCAGCCCAGCCTGCTGGGAGGTCATCTCCGTGCAGTCTTTGTCTACCTGCTTCCCTCTGCGGGCCCTAGAGCCATGTCTGCTCACGTCGTGTGCTGCTTCCAGTGGCTGGATGTAGGCAGCCGCCCACAGATGACCTAGGGTGTGGTGAGGCGTGTTTTCCCCATCAGCAGGGGTCCCAGGGGTTTTTGCAGGGGTGGCACAGAGTGGGAAGGAAACTTGGCAGGCGGGGGATGCCCTGGACCCTACCCACAGCTCTCCCCTTAGCCCTGGACCCTACCCGCAGCTCTCCCCTTATGTGGGATTGTGGCAGCCCAGGGCTGCAGGGTGGGGTGGCTGCAGCAGGCTGGCTCCTCTCCGAGCTGGGGTTAAGGTCAAGGATACCCCACTCCCTCGGGCCCCACCATACGGCCTGCTTGTGGCTGGACGAGGAATAAGAAGGTTCTGATGAGGCAGAGTGGCCTGGGCCAAGGGCACAGGTCTCGCCTCTGTGTCCTGGTTGTGTGACCTGGACACATTCCCCCTATCACACAGTGGGATTTGTCCCTTGCAGCCTATTTTAGGATGAGGTCATCCCAGGGTGCGGGGCTGCTGTCCAGCCAGTGGGAGACTGGATGCGTGCTGTGTATGTGTGTGTTTGGGGGATGTCTCAGATTGCCCTTAGGGGAGCTGGGTCATGGCAGTCAATCTGCAGCCATAGGTGGGGCCTGAGCTGGGTGTTTCCCAGCCCCTTCCCCAAAGCCCCCTGTGCACAACAGTCAAGGGAAGGTGCTGGGACCCTCTCGAGAGATCAGCCAACCAGGGCCCAGACGTGGGCAGTGCCGTGGCTGTTCTGCCAGTGGCCCAAAGGCCCCGGCCCCGGGGACACCTTGATGGGGGCACACAAAATATGGAGAGAAGCCAGGCGAATCTGACTGAGATGGGTGGGGACTGGGAGAGAGGGGACAGCAATGGCAGGTTTAACTCATGTAACAAATTGGCCTGGTGTACCCAAGGCAAGTGGGTGGCATCTGTTAGTTCTGGCTGGCTGTTGTTTTCTGGGACATTCTTTAGGTTTGGATGCGTGTTTTTGGAAAGAGAGAAGCAGTAAGCTTCTGAGCAGCACTGAGTTGAACACAGTTTCTTGATTGTCACAGGCCTCCGCAAGCTGTGTGCCGGCTGGCTCACAGGGCAGCCACCAGGGTGTGAAGGCAGAGGAGGAGCCCCTGCAGCTTGAATCCCTAAGCCCATCCCAGGCCACCAGGTCCAATGGGAAGAGTAAGGTCGGTTCCTGCATGGCCACTTGCCAGCCCCACCCACCGAGAGACTCAAGAGGAGGTGAGACGGAAGAAAGAAACCTCGGGGATTCGCCGGGACTCTCATTTAGTTCAATGTCCACATACTGGCAAATTGCTGGCCCCACCGGGGAGCCCAGGCAGGGCCCACAGGCCCTTCGAATATGCAGGTGGATGATGGGAGATACACAGGTGCTAGGACTTCCGGCTGGCTTGCTTGCTGTCCGAGTCAGCGGCGGGCGCTGATCACGTGGGCTGCTGAGCCCAGCTGGAGATGCCGAGAAGCTGATCTGGACTCAGGCCTCTCGTGCAGCAGCAGCGGGGCCTCCGGGGCTGCACCTGGAGCCCTCTGCACCTACAAGAGATGAGGACAGTGGCCGGCTTCCTGACAATACCTGGGGTCTCTGGAGGGCGCTGCCTCTGCCCCAGCCTGGTGTCTGCCCGGGACAGCAGCTGTTGCTGGTAAGGGTGGTGTGTCAGGGCCGGCCAGGGGACCTGTGGGGACTTCTGTAGGCTTAACCTTTGCCTACTTTGCGAGCCTGGTGGGGAGCGGGGAGGAGACAGAGTGCTTCGGGGTTGGCTGAGGCCTCACTGTGGGTTCCACAAACGTCCAGTCTCTGAACCTGCAGTGCCCCCTCACTAGCTGTGTTATCTTGGAAAAGCAGTCCAAATCTCTCTGCACCCCAGTCTTTCCCCTGTCACACGACCATCTCGAGAATCCTGATGTGATGGAATGCTGTGAGATTTAAATGGGATGTAAAAATGGGATGCTCCATCAAAGGGGTGCCTGGCCTTAGCATCTCATGTGTCTGAGGTTGAGGGTGTTCACAGAAGGGAATGGGGTTCACATCCGCCTCCAACACTGGGCAAGGTATCTGTGCTTGCACCGACAGCACCAGTACGGGATGGACTCTCCAGCCTCCCCCAGGTGCTCACTCGATATGGTCATGACGGTTGGGTGCCCCGGGGGGTGTCGGGGGGCTTTATTCCAGATCTGAGTTTTTCAGTCTCGGTCTCATTGACACGTGGGGTCGAAGCAGTTCTCTGCCACGTGGGGCTGTCCCATGCATTGTAGAATGAGTGGCAGCATCCCTGGCGCGGCGCACCTGTGCTCCACACGTTCCAGGGTGTCCCGGCCTCGGGATGGGGACAATGCCACCCGCGGTTGAGTGTGACTGAGGAGTGAGCCCTCAGTCAGTGCTATTTCTTTGTTGAAGAAGAGTGTTGAAGTTGGGTGAGCTTTTCTGAAACTTGGTGGTCTCTGCCTACTTCAGTGCATCCCCTGGGGGGCCTGCTATATCCTGTGAAGGGGCGTTCCAGAGTCTACTGGTGACAAGCTTTCCAAACCCCAGCCTCGTTGCACATAAAGGACTTGTTCTGGGACATGGCTGGGCAGCCGGATCAATTGCAACTTGGGTGCTTAATATATTTTTGGTCACCCGAACCTAATTTTTTTTTTAAAAGACCATTAAATGCAACCTAGACCTCACAGTCTTTCACGCTTAATTGAGCCATGAGCTACGATTAAAACTAAGCAGTGAATTCTGTGGGGAACAGAACCTTTGATGGCATAGAGGTTTGTGTTTGACCACAAGCCTGGGATTTGGCAGGTCCCCAAACCAGAAAAGGCTCTCAAGGAGACAGTTTCTCTGGAAACAGAGATGGAAGAAGAGCTGGGAGCTCTGAGGTCCTCACTATGTCAGAGATGGCCCGAAGGCCCTGGGAGAGAGGGCCAGGCACCTGCCTCATGAGGACTCTGGGTAGGTGTCCTCCCGGATGCCATGAGGGCCTGTGACATGTCTTTCTTAGATGAGTCAGGTGTGGCTCTCCTTGTCTGGTCTGGCTTCTTACCCACACGCCCTAACATCTCTGCGCTCGCGGAGCAGGCCATCTTAGCTCAGGAGTCAAAGATGTTCTACCAGATGTCAGGAGCGTTTCTGCTTAATGCTTGGTGTGCCTACAGGAGGGTAGTGCCCCAGGCATGGATTTTAACCAGCGCGAGAGTTCCTCATTGTTGAGAATTTGACTGTGACACATGGCACAGGGCTTCACAGCACAAAGCAATCCAGGATGAGTTTTTGCCTCGAGTCATCCAGTGGCCCCAGGGTATAAGAGTCAGTGGAGGGTTGAGCTCTTGGGAGTGTGCACCGTGGTGAGCATGGCCACTTGAGCCCTGACTGTGGTCCGTGGACCTGGGCCGTCATTTGCTCATGCCGTGGTTATGCATCTGTGACATGGGCTGGGCTGTGCAGAGTGGAGCAAGGCCTGGGCACTGCAGAAATGTAGCTGGCTGCTTTCTCTGCAGAGTGTGTGTGGCCATCATCATGGCGCTCTCAAACAGCAACATAGGGATGCTGGGCGCTGCATGCCGCAGACTGCGTTGATATTACAGGTGGTCACTGACACACAGGTACCTGAGATGCTGGGTTTTCTTGTGAGATTGAAGGCCACGGGTCTGGAGTTTGTGGCAAACGTCACCTCCCAGGATGTGTCTCTCAAAGCCAGGCATGCTGCACATGATTTGCTTGGTGCGCATCATCCTCGCAGTATGGGGTCCTCTCATTTGCTGGGAGGGCAGTGTCACCTGAGGGTGTCCTGGTCCCACGAGCTCCTAGTTCTCAGAAGAGCCCAGGAGAGGAGCTGAGGCCCGAGAAGGCTGCTGATTGGGCTGGCCCTGGGCTGGCTGGCTTTTCGAGAACTGAGTTGGTTCCTCTTTGACCCTTTGGCACAGTGGCTGATCTGCACTGACCTTCAGAATGAAGGCTTTTGGCCTGCCCGGCGAGCTCTCACAAGAGTCTGGGGACAGTGGATGGGTGTGCTCCCCCCCCCGCCCCGGGAGGGGCAAGGAGGACGTTGAAGTTTGGCTCTTTGTTGGTATGGCGGGACTCAGTGTGGGGTGCGGCCTTCAGAGTGGCCCAGAGTTTTTTCCTTGTAATCCCAGACCTCAGATTGTTGTCTGCATACACCCTCTTGGGGAAGCAGAAGTTCTCCTTTAGGGGAAACACCAATTTTGCTTGCTCAGGAAAGCCCAAGGGCAACCCTAGGTGGAAGGCCGGGGAGGCCCAGGAAGGCCCCCAGGTGAGGTGTGGGCTCCCAGTGGGGTGGGCGTCTTTGTCTTGCTGTGATCATGGGACTCGTGGAGACGCGGGGTGGCCCGTGACGCCCAGCTCCTTAGAAGAGAAGGGTTTCTCGAGTCTATTGGTGGGGCCTCAGCTGGCCCAGAGAGAGGATGGTACTGCAGGGGGTCCTCAGGTGGCCCTGGGGACAGGCGGTGGAGTTTCCTGTATAGATGAGGCTTCTTCAGCAGGAAGGGGAAGTGTCCCCGCAGGTGGCTGTCGGTGGTGGGAGATTGTGCCTGTTTGGGGAAAACCCCTGTGGCGGTCGGGGCCATCTTCCAGGAGGCCCCTGGTGTCCGTGGCTTCTCGGAGCAGTCTGAAGGACACGGAGAGCTGATGGATCTTCGGTTTCCAGTTACGTCCGCCCTGAAACATGCCTGAGGTCGGCAGTTCGCACCTGCTCTGTGCAAGGGCTCCTTCCAGTCCGGTGCCACGCAGCCGCCGTGCTCCGGACGCCTCTGTGAACTTGGCAGGAGCTGTCTTGTGGGGCTGATTCTTCACCCAGCGCTTGGCTTTTGTTTGCTCACTTGCATTTCCTCAAGCAGCTTCTGCTCTTTCTCCTGCCTGATTGGTTATCCGTCCCCAGGACTGGGGGGCCAGAGGTGGGCGCGCTCGGCTCGCGGAGGGCGGGAAGGCTGCGTCTTTTCCAAACCACTCTCTTTCTTCCTGACTTTCTTTGTGTTGCAGAGCTATGATTGGCTGCTGATGGCCTCTGAAGGCTTTGTGAGGGTTTGTTCCTGGCTGGCCCCTTGATAAGGGGGCTCGCCTCCCCCCTCCCCTCTCCCCTGCCCCAGGGAAGCCTGGCAGGCAGCTTCGGCAGGCATTCTGTCCTGGAATCATTGTGAGCCCACGCGCCTGGTCGCCCTGGGCTCCAGCTGCTTTCTGACTTGTGGCGCACTGGATGCCAGGGGCAGAGCCGGGAAGCGGTGTGGGCTCCAGTTCCCCAGGCCGGGAGTGGGCCGGGGGCTACCTCTTCAGAACTCCCCGCCTCGCCCGGCCACCTCTCCCCTCTTTTTGCTTTTGCTTTGTGCCTCTGTAGCTCCTTCGGAAAGAAACCCGCTCCGCCTCTGGGGAAGCCGCCTGTTCTCTGAGGAGAGTCTCCTGGCTTCTGTGAGCGCCTGCTTCTCCTTTCTGTGTGCTGACAGGAAGTCCGGGTGGGCCAGCCTGGTTCCGGGCTTGAAGGACTCCCGACGACTTCACTGTGCTCTCTCAAATTCCTGTGCACGCGCTTTGTGTTTATGATGAAGGTCTTTCACACGGGTCCGCTTTGCACTTCCTGCTCTGGCGAGTCTCAGCGCTTCCTTTTAGGGGTACCGGGGCGCTGAGCGTCTGGGCCTGGCTCACCAGGAGCTGACGGGCCACAGGCCCCGGGCTCCGATTCTGCGTTTCCGGCAAGATGTTGATGGGCTCATTTCTCTCCCCACGTTCGAGAGGGGCCTGTGACTTCTGTGGCCCTGAGTGGCCACATGCTCTCGATGCATTTCTGAACAGGGAGGCTCCGCATCCTCTGTGAGCGCCCGGCCCTGCAGATCGCGTCCCCAGGGTGCTGAGGGCCGTGGGGGCGAGGCGGGGAGCCGCCCTGAAGAACCATGACTGGAAGAGGCTGGGGTGCAAGGGGCCGGCTCAGGATCGGGATTCTGAGCAGGACGAGGGGTCGGGCGTCTGGGATGCCCGGCGGCAGGGACGATGGCGGAGGAGCAGCCGCTCACTGTCTGGAGCCCCGCGGGGCTCGGCGTGCGCAGGGCCGGCCTGCTTTTGCTCCCTGCGCCCCTCGGGGTGCGTGTGGCACGGAACGTGGCTCACGGAACGCCCCAACACCGGCCCCCGGCCCCACAGCTGGCCGGCCATGGGCGGAGAGTTTGGGGTTGGCAGCGCCGGCAGAGCAGAGGCCGGCGGGTCGCGTGGTGCTGCTCGCTTGTCCCACTGCCGCCGGGGACCCGCGCCCTTGAGTGCAAGTCAGTGGGCTGTGAGCCCCGCGGCTGGCACCCCCGAGTCACTCCCTGCCTTTGAAGAACGTTTCCTCTCTTGGCTCTGGCCCTGCATTCTGGATTCTCTCTAAAGTGCCCTCGTCCTCCAGCCCCCTGACGCGGGCCCCATGCCTCTCCAGCTCCCAGGTCTTAAAAAAGCCCACTTTGTAGCAGACGGCGGCATTGTCCCAGCAGCCTCCGGACACTTTCTCTGCAGTTCCCGCGCAGCTGTCTCGCCGGGCCCTGGCGGAGGCGGACTCTCTGGAGCTCCCCAGCTTGTGTGCATGGGATGGAGGAAACCCCGGGGGATGAGGCCCCCTCAGGAGGGCCAGGACGCTGGAGGCTCAGGGGAGGCGCTCTGGCATGGGGTCCGCTGCAGCTGGGCTTGGGGTTGGGGGGAGGGAAGCACCTGGGGCGCAGGGTGGTGGCAGCCTCGGGCACTGAGGCAGATCACTTTTAACGGGCTGGGCAAGGTCTCTGTCTTGTTGTCTTATCAGCTTCGTATCAGACTTCTCCCCAGATTTCCGTTCTGGCACAACAGCACATGCCTTGTTCGTTTTGTTGTATGAAATGCCCTAACCAGAGCACTGTGGCTGTTTTCCGTGTAGGTGCGTCGGTCTACCATTTCTTCTTCTCTTTCCTTCCTCATTCAACACCCCGTTTTAAGATCAGACCTTCCCCTCTGCAGTCTTAGAATGGATTGAGATTACCCCCAAGGGCTTTTGTTTATGTGGGTTAAAACTATTGATATTCCTGCCTTAGAAATGGAAATAGAGACACTTAAAAAAAAGCAAACGTCTCCATTTGTTTAGAAACAAATGCATGCCAATGTAAATCAGTTTTAGCATTTTTATGAAAATAGTTTTGACCTTGAAGACTGCCAGTCCCAGGATGTGAGTGGGCTCTGACCAGACACCGGTGTGGTTTGCACTGCTTTGTAACACGGATGTCGGAAGGCAGTTTGTCTTAGGGAAGTGTGCTTGGAGCGATGGACTAGCCTCCGCGGTGACTGACGGATGCCACTGTCCCTGTGTGAAAGGTCATTCTGGCAAGCAGACATTCTGGGTCTGACCCGAACACTTTTTGGTGTTTTATGTTGAGTTTTTAAGTCCCAGAGTAGATAACTTTGAAACACAAAGAACAAAAATTCTTCGCTTACGAGCAAGCTATTTTTCTTTTGCAAGCTATTTCTTTTACTTTTTAAATTTGAAATCGATGGCAGCGTAGGCTTTTTTCTTAAGTTTGAAATACTTTTTGCCTTTTTGGTGGTTTTGGGTGTCTAATCCTGTCTCATTCCAAAAGGGAACTCCATCCTCGTGCGCTGGGCCTCTCCCCCGTCCTCACCCACAGGCAGTCTCTGACCCCTGAGTGTAGCAACGGGAGTCACACAGTGTGTGGCTTTTTGTATCTGACTTCTTGTGCTTAGCCAAATGTTTGAGGTGGATGGGTCAACACTTTACCCCACTCAGAGATGACCCTCCCTGGCACAGACATACCACTGCAAGGTGTCCAGCGCATAACACATCTTCCCAGGCAGACGCATCAATTAATTCACAAGCTTTTATTGGGATCCCGCTCCCGGGCGAGGTTCCCGGTCCCAACAGAGCAGGGCCAGGCCGGGAAAGCTGCACGTCAGAGGTTGGGAGGGCTCCTTTTATAGATTCAGGGTGTGGGGGTTAAAGGTTGAGGCAGGTCTGATCCTCATTGGTTGACCTTTAGGCACCCGCAGGGACCTTGACAAGGACTTTTCTTCCCCGGAAGTACAGGTAGGGACTCTCCATTCCCGGAAGTATAGGCCTTCCCTCCTTGCCGATCCCAAAGCTACCAACCACTCCGCATTTGGTTTTCCTGTGGGCTGTTGCCGCTGGGGGGCGTTTTTGAACAGTGCCGGGAGCCTTTGTGTGCCGGTTTTTATGCGGGCACCGTCTACTCTATGCCTTAGTTAGAGCTTGCATGGGTCCCCAGGCCCACGCTGACCGTGTGTTCATCATACGTCCAGACCCCCTGCCCTCCCAAATCAGAGAGAAAGGAGAGAGGGAACCTGCCAGCTATCTTGGAAAATCACAAAGATTTGTCTTTATTTTTTGTGTTTTTTTTTTTTTTTTTCCACCTGTTAGAAAGATGTCGTAAGTCATTGCGGGCCATTTGCTATGTTCCTGCTGTGGTTTGCATGGGAGGAGGTGCCGGATCAGCAAGGGGCTCACTCAGCTTTCCCCAGGTAAACGTGCAGATGAAAGGCGGCGAGTTGTGACATGTTTCAGAAATCGTTTGTTTGATGGGAAGTCCTGGCGATTTGTCACCGCCCCCGCTGCCCACTGTATTTTGACTCTCAGGGGAAGCGATTGTCCCAAACTGTATGAGATGATTGTTCTCTGCCCCGATGGGGGCGTGGCTCTCCCCCGAGAGTGGACCGCTGCTAGTGGGCCTCTGTCATCCGCGGATGGCCCTGGGGTCACACTGGGCTCGCCCGAAAGGCTGTGTGCTCCAGGCCACAGGACCACGCTTGTTTCTTCACCGGAAAAGGATACGGCATTTGACTGCTGACGGCCGTCCCAGGTGCTGCCATGTGTTGCCACTCTGGGAACAGACTCGTTGGCCCCCCTTTGGCAACTCCCGGGGGGCTCCCCGAGGACGGTCAGGGTCCCAGGGCTCTCTTGAATCCAGGATTTAGTTCCATGGGACGCAAGCATTTCGCTGTGGCGATTTAAGCTGCTGTTAACCTTGTTCGATTGTTCTATTTTTTAGGCTATATGTGAAGGTCTTAAGATTCCCATAATGCACCATTTAGCCGACTGTGCTTTTGTAAACGGAAATAAAAATTTTAAGAATGACACTTGATTTTCACAGCTGTGCCGGGGCATCTCGTTCTGGTTTGAGTTTCCATTTCCTTCTTAGCAAATGCCGTCGCATCTTTTCCATGTCTACCATCCATATGTGGCCTTCAGTAGCGTGGCAGGGGGTGAGGTGCTGAGGGAGACGTGCGTGTCACTCATCCCACGATCCCCATTCTACAGACGAAGAACCCATGACCCCAGAAGGAACGTGTGTCCAGGTCTCCCCGGCACGCTGTGAGCGCTGAAGGGGACAGAGGGCTGGCCGCTCGGGGGCCTGAGCACGCTGTACCAGGCCTCAGGGTGGTTTCGGGTGCCTCGGCTCCGGAGTGGGACGGGTCATCGCAGGTCAGCGCCCCGGCCACGGCAGACACAACCATCCCCCTGCAGAAGCTGCCAGGTTCTGAGGCCCCCACCCCGTACGCAGGAGGCAGTGCCCAGAGGCACCTTGTCTGTGGGCAGCAGGGATGAGCAGGACTTCTGAGCCTGGAGCCGCTTCATCCCTGTGAGTGCTGGAGCAGTCAGAGAGCTCGCCCCGGAGAGACAGGAAGCGGCTTCCACCTCAGGCTCACCGGGCTGACACAGAGGTCTTGACAGGGCTCTGCTCCTTCTGAAAGCTCCAGAGTTGTTTCCCTGCCTTTACCAGACTCTGCCTGCTGCCCCTTCCACGTTCAGAGCCACAGAGGCCGGAGGAGGCGGCCTGGCATTGCACCACCCTGGTCCTGACCGCACGTGCAGGGACCTTATGATTGCACTGGGCCCACCTGGAGAATCCGCCTGTTTCTAAGATCATTGGAGAGCGACCTAATTCTTTCTTTTTAAAAAAGATTTATTTATTTACTTGAGAGGCAGAGTTAAAGACAGGGAGGGAGAGACAGAGGGGTCTTCCGTCCACTAGTTCACCCCCTAAATGGCCACACTGGAGCCAGAATCTCCTTCCCAGTCTCCCACGTGAGTGCCGGAGCCCAAGCACTTGGGCCATATTCCACTGCTTTCCCAGGCCATTAGCAGAGAGCCGTAGCCATGACTCAGACGGGGGCCCATATGGGATGCCAATGCCACAGGTGGAGGCTTAACCTAATTCTTTTTTTTTGAAGTCATATTTATTGGAAAAGCAGGCAACACATAAAGAAGTACAGAAAGAGAGAGGTCGATCTTCCATTCACTGGTTCACTCCCCAAATGCCTGGCTGAAAACAGAAGCCTGAAAACAGAAGCCAGGAACTCCATGTAGGTCTCCCACGTGGGTGGCAGGGACCCAAGCCCTTGAGCCACCGCCTGCTGCCTCCCAGGTGTGCATCAACAGGAAGTTGGATCAGAAGCACAGCTGGGACTTGAACTCAGGCACTCTAATCTATGGACGTCCCAAGTGATGTCTTAACCTCTGAGCCAAATGGCCACTCCAACTGTGATTCCTTCTGCAAGTTCAAGTCCCCTTGCCATGTGAGATCACAGGTTCATTCTGCTTGGGGATTAGGGCACAGACATCTCTGGGAATCACTGCTCTGTCCTCCACAGCCTGCCTGATTGTTCAGGGGACAGGACGTGGATAACAGTGAGGGCCCCAGGAGGAACAGGTGCCCTGCTGGAGCCATCGTAAAGCCACGTGGTCAAAGTGCCATGGAGAAAGATATTGCCGGGGAGGGGACTAGGGGAGTGCAGTGTAACCAGGGTGGGCTGCACTGAGACCGTGCCATTTAAGCCAAGACAAGCCAAGACCGGAAGGAGACAAGGAGCCCCTGGCAGGCCTGTGGGGCTCTGCACGAGCTGCTCTCATCCGGTCTTGATTGCTTACTTTTCCCTCTGAGCTCCCTCTCTGTCTAGCAACTCGTGCCCTCCCCCCCCCCACCCCCAGAAGAACGAGCCAGGCTACCCTGCCCTTGGTGCTGGGTTTAGGGGATACTTTATTTTTTGCCTGTGGATGCCTCTGCTGTCCACGGCATGAGGTCAGCCTGCCCCTAGCTGAATTCTGACTCCACCGCTGGCTGGCGGCTTTCCTTGGGGGAAGTGACCTCAGAGTTTTGTGCCACAGGCTCTAGAGAGAAGAGACAATGATGCTAAGTTCCCCATGGCTAGTGTGAGGCCCACGCTAGGCGACCCCATACCTGTGTTTAGGGGAGAAGCCTAAAACCCGCTGATGTGTTATCACCTTATGTTAGTCTTCCATGTTGCATTGCACACAATTTTACCTGCTTCCCAGGTGCTTCTAACTTTGAATTGTTTGGGAACAAAACTGGGCATGAAACTAACGTTCAAACACCTTGGCCACCAGATGAACCCCCTTGAGTGATTCCACAGGGCCCTCCGGGAAGCCATCCTGTTTCCTGACTGGCTACTTAGAGACCACTTCAGCCCACTCTTCAAGGACCTGAGTATAGTCAATGGCCCTTCAAAATGACAAAAGCCGCTGCCTATATGAGGGTACTTCAGAAAGTCCGTGGGGATGGTTGTATGACCTAGCGCTTAAGACACTGGATAAAAGGCTGGTGTCAGCATGCCATATGGGTGCCCATTCGAGTCTTGGCTGCTCCACTTCCAATCCAGCTCCCTGCTCATGCGCCTGGTAAGGCAGTGGAGAATGGGCCAAGTCCTTGGGCCCCTGCAGCCATGTAGGAGACCCGGAGGAGGCTCCTGCCTCCTAGCTTTGGATTGGCCCAGCTCCAGCCATTGCGGCCATTTGGAGAATGAACCAGTAGATGGAAGACCTCTCTCTTGGTCTGTGCCTCTCTCTCTTTTTGTAACTCTGCCTTCCACATAAATAAATATTTAAAAATGGTTCTGGTTAAGATGCCTGCATCCTACATCAGGATACCTGGGTTCCAGCCTCGATCTGCTCCAGATTCCAGCTTCTGTGAATGCACACCCTGGGAGGCAGCAGGTGAGGGCTCAATGGTTGGGTCCCCACTACCCATGTGGGAGACCTGGCCCGAGCTTTGGAGGCACTTGGGGAGTGAACCAGTAGTTGGGAGTTGGTTCGCTCTCTCAATCTATTTGAATTCCATCCTCCATGAATTGTTTGAAGTGCTCTTGCAGGCGTGGCTCGTGCAGGCGCGGTGGGGGCCAGTGCCTCCCAGGGCTGTCTTCTCCGGTAGGCCCAGTGCAGGGTCTAGGGCTGGGCTGCTGGGGAGACTTGCGAAAATGTTCTGCTTTTTAAAATCCAAAGGCCAAAATGGCCTTTTGGGTTAAAGAAATTGTCTTAATATATGATACTAATATATTCACCTGTATGCCAATGCACTGATAAAAATAGATTTTACAATACTTTATGGAGGTAGCTGTCCACGTGTGCCCAGGGCCCACGTGCCTGGTCCCCTCTGTCAGTCCCAGTGTGCCTGGCCAGACGTGCTGCTGCTCCACGTGCGGACGCGTGCATGCGTTGACATGTTCAGCGCATCCCCCACAGGCCCCTCGACTGCCCTTATGCCAAGATTCTGAGTTCCACCATGTTTACTCCCGCTTGTCTCCCCCTCCTCCTGGAACGGAGAGTCCAGGAGACCTGGGCACTCAGTCTCGTGAGCTGAGGAAGCTCTGCGGACTTTGCAACCCTCGGCTTTTCCCTTTGTAAAACGGGACGTGCGGGGTGACTGTTGTCAGTGCACTTCCCTTCTCTGGGCGCCAAGTCTTCCTCTGTTCCTTTGGAACCTCCAGCCCCTCATCCCAGGAAGACTCCCCCCCCCCCCCCGACCTGCTGGCCGTGGCTGATTGGTCAGGGGTAAACATGGGGCCTAAGGTGGGCCAGCCAGGGCTCCTGGAACATGGGATAGAGAAGCAGTCTGTCTGCCAGTGAGGCACTCGGATGTGTCATGCTGAGCCAGTTTCTTTAACACAGGCTTATGAGCATCTGCTGTGTGCTTGACATAGCTCCCGACGCTGCAGATACAGCACGCGTGACTTACTTATTTATAAACATGGATAGATGCGTTTCCTGTCCCAGGGAGGACATCCATCTGAGAGAACAAAGCCATTGGATAGGGCACAGGAGAGACAGGAGATGGAAGAGCCGTGGCAGTTTGTCACTCCCAGCTCAGCTTGTGCCGTGTGACCTGTTGGTGGCCCAGCTTCTAGCCACGATTTCTCCTTTTTGCCTGAGCTAGCCAGGATGGCGTTTGATTAAAGCAAAGAGCAGACGTGGTTATTTTTTTTAAATTGTTATGGAAAAATGAATGAAAAGATAATGCATATGTTCCATGAAGTTTTTGAACATTCCTTGGGCATTTCTTTTGATGAGTTACTTACACATTTGAAAGGCAGAGAGAGAGAGAGAGAGAGAGAGAGAGAGAGAAGTTTCATCTGCTGGTTCACTCCCCAAATGCCTGCAACAGCCTGGGCTTGGCCAGGCCAAATCAGGAGCCAGAAACTCCAGCTGGGTCCCCCCAGATGCGTGACAGAGAGCCAAGTGCCATCTGCTGCTGGCTCCAGGGTGCAGTAGCTAGAAGATGGATCAGAAGCGTCGGTGGGGCTCGACCCCAGGCGCTCCGACAGGGGACACAGGCATCCCCGGCAGCAGCCTAACCTGATGCCCCTCACTGCCCACCCCCCTTGCATATTCTTGAGTAACTGATTTCCAGACTCTATCACTCCCTGAAGTATTTCCCAATGTAAACTCAGGTGTACACCCACACGCGTGCCCGGAGGGTGAAATCATGATTCTCTCTGTCTGAATGTGTGTTTCTCTGCCTCTGTAAAAAAAAAAAAAAAAAGTCGTGGAAAAATGGAAAGAAAAGATAAGTGCATTTTGGTGCAACAAAGTTTGGAATCCATGGATATTTTCACACTACACATTTCCACGAATGTTTCTGAAGACCCCTAATTGGAAAGTGTTGTTCTCTGTTGGAACCTGGGCTGAATTTGTAATTGCTACTGAAGATGGCCCCGGGAAACAGAGCCTGGATATTCTGAGATTGGGTTGATGAATTATTCAAGAAGGGCAGAGAAGCCCTCCTTGCCAGGGGGAAGTGGGACACGGGTTCTCCGTAGCGGGTGGTGGCATCACAAACCCTCAAATTATCACCGGTAGTGACAGAGATGATAGGCAGGCAGCAGAAAAGCCTTGAGATTTCCAGGGGTTCTGACACCCAGTTTCTATGGCAACAAGAGGGAATTTGAGCATCTTGGAGTAGCCTGGATTCTTGTGGCTGTAGAGAGTGCGCACAGGGAAGAGGAGGATTTAGAAACTGCAACACCATCTGATCGAGTGCACGCTCGGAGAACAGGCAGGCCTTGGGATGGCCTTGGAGGGTCTCTCAGCTGCTCTGGTGGCTGAGGACCAGGGTCAGGTGAGATGATGGACAGGCTATGTGTCTGCAGCAGCAGGGCTGCTACACCAAGCACAGATGGGGTAGGAACAGCTGAGTGGACAAGGGTAAGGAAATGGGTGCCCAGTGTCCCCTGAATTCCACCCCATTAACCTCTAGAAGCAGCCCCTTCTACATCCCCTTCCCCTGCCCCCACCCCAAGTGTGGGAACCAGCCCTCTTCTAGAGATGGCCTTGAACTGGCTGTACCCGAGTGTCAGCTCAGGCTGATGCCACCTTCTGGCTGCCCTTCCTCCTTCCCCGGCACAAAGCTCCCCTGCAAATAAGCCCTTCTGAAACTATCCTGAAGTGAAGGTGCCACCTGGAAGTGCGTCTGAAATCCTCTTACCCGTCCCTTCCCCAACTCTGCTCCTCGCCTAGGCTTCCCGTCTCTGTGAATGGCACCCACTATGCACCCAGCTGCTCAAGCCAACAGCCTTGCAAGCCGTTACCCCTTTCTTGCTTGTCCTGAATCTAATTCCTAGCAAGGCCTTTGATTGCATCTTTGACATAGATAGTTGATGTCAGGCTATCAAATAGAATCTGATATTTGATATCACCACTGCTTGTACTTTTTTTTTGATGCAAGACATCAGCCTTTCTCAACTGCACCAGTGTTCAGGAGCCTCCTAGCTGGTCTCTCTGCTCACTCACTCGCTCTCGCCTCCTGTGGTTTAATGTCCGCACATTTGCCAGAAATTGTCCTACCCTGCTGATGTCACCCTCGGAAGCTTGCGTTGACCGTGAGCTTCCAAGCCCTTTGCGTCATGGTCCCTGCTGTGGTTCAGCTGTGGGTTGAGTGGGCTGCCCAAGGTGTTAGGTGTTGGAAGCTTGGTCCTCAGTGTGCTGATGCTGAGAGGTGATGTGGAACCTCAGAGTCGGGCTGCATTACGGCACAGGGGGTTAAAATGCTGCCTGCCATGCGGGCATCCCAGATGGGCACTGGTCTGCGTCCCGGGTACCTCATGTGTGATCTCACTCCCTGCTAATGTACCTGGGAAGGCAGCGGAAGATGGCCTAGGTATTTGGGTCCCTGCTACCTACTGGATGGAGTTCCAGGCTCCTGGCTTTCGCCTGGCCTAGTCTTGCCATTGCAGCCATTTGGGGAGTGAACCAAGTCTTTCTCTGTCTCTCTGAAACTCTGCTTTTCAAATAAATAAACCTTTTTTTTTTTAAAGTCATTGAAAAGAAATTTAAGAGGAAGGTGAAGCCTGGTAGAAGGAGTTTGGGTCACTGGGTGCTGCCCACAGAAGGGCTTAACCAGTCTCCAGGAGCAGTCGGCTCTCTAAGTTGTCATCAAAGACAAGACCTGCCCCTCCCCCACCTGGCTTCCAGTTTCTCCAGGTGACCTCCCCTCTACCTCCGGCTCCTGCTCTTGATTCCCTTAGGCCCTCACCAGAGAGCCTGAACTGCACAGCTGCCCCATTTTGGGACTTCCAGGGTCCAAGACCACGGGCTCAACACCTCCTTTCCTTGTACACGTCCAGGCCCCAGGTATTTTGTTATAGAGAAGTGGACTAACACAGCCTCCGAGGCACCACGGGGCCTGGGCTGGCCTCACCTGTTTCCCCAACCTCCCCTACAGTCACCCGCTTCCCCCATTCGCCTCCAGCCCCAGGGGCCTCTTTCCTGGCTGTTTCTTCTCCCAGGTGGCAGCAGGTGCACTCCGTCACTTCACGCAGGCCTCTGCTGGAACGCTGTCTTTGCCGAGAAACTGCAGTGAAACCTCTGTCTTTTCTGTCGCTTTCCTTTGTCTACTTTCTTTCAGCACGCTCGTCACTACTCGGCATCATGTGTGTTCTTACCTGCATGTCTTCTACCTTATTATTATTATTATTATTTTTAGAAAATTTTATATCTGAAAGGCAGAATTTCAGGGGATGGTGGTGGGGGAGAGGGAGACAGACAGAGACAGTGAGAGAGAGAGACAGAGTGAGAGCGATCTTGTATCTGCTGGCTCACTCCCCAAATGGCTGCAGTGGCCAGGGCTGGGCCAGGTCAAAGCTGCTGGCCTGGAATTTCATCAGGTCTCCCACATGGGACCCAGGCCCTTGGGCCATCTTCCGTTGCTTTCCCAGGTGCATCAGAATGGAGCCGGGTGGAACTCGGGCAGCTGGAACTTGAAGCAGTGCCCTGAAATGGGAATGATGGAGCCCAGGCAGCGACTTAACCCCTGTGTTTCACTTGAGAGTGTAAGCTCCATGAAACTTCTCAACAAAGGAGCAAATGCGCCCAACAGGGCGGAGTTCCCAGAGGAAGTGACAGTTCCTTTTTATCACTGCCAAGGAGGTTTGTGAGCTGCAGGCAGAGGGGTCCAGAGGCACAGCCGGTGGTCCTCGCCCTGTGTTCCCAGAGTGGGTGGGGCCATAGCTTCTCAATGCCTCTAGCCCTGCTCCCCAGGTTCCACACCGTAGAAAGCACTTGTCGGGAGCATATATTATTAGCGCTTCTCTTGGAAAAGAACCGGATGCTGGGGGGGTAACCTGCACTTTGCAGAGAAGTTAACTTCATGGTGGTGTACACCTCCTGGCTGGGGCCCTGCCATTGCCACACCCAGGGCAGTGGTTTAGACCATGGATCCAAGTTGCTGGCTTCATACCCCTACTGGCCATGGGATGTGGGGCTCATTACCCAACCTCTTAGAATCTTCAGCGAGAAACAACCACAGGGTCTCCCTGGGAGGGGGAGAGCGGCCCCAGGCCAGCTGTCCAGTGCAGTACCTAGCACTTGGCAGTACCTAGCACTTGGCAGTACCTAGCGCTTGGTACGCTCTCGATGAATCGGCAGCTCCTGCTGTGTTCTTGGTTATAGAAACAAACATGGAACAGACAGGGCTCAGGCTGGTGACGGGACAGGCAAGCAATGCTGAGTGAAAGCCAGAGGGTCACAGGGTCCTACAGTGCCCCGAGGTGCTCCTGGCACCCTCAGCCACGGAGAACAGGTCCTGCCTTGTGGACCGGAGTTGCCAAGGGCAGCGGGAAGGTGGCCACTTGGCAGGAAGTCCAGGGACCACAGCTGAACGTTTCCACTTTATTGTCTGTAAACTCTTCTTTGGTAAACAAGACAAGGGACCCAAAGAGCAAAGGAGCACACCAAGGGAAGACACCAAGGCAGGGGCAGTGCCCCCACAGATGGGCACTCCGGGGAGACGGCTATACCGTTAGCACGGTGGCGGATGGAACCCGGGAGTCTGGGGTGGCTGGTGGCCTGGGGGGAGGCAGAGGGGAGCGAGAGGGAGAAGTCCACTCTGTTGGACATAGAAGCCTAAATCTGACAGTGAAGGAGCCCATGCATCACAGCGGAGAGAATTAGGGGAACTCCACCCACGCCCCCGCCTTCCTCCCACGCAGCCGGTGATGCACTTGGGGCAGAGAAGTCGGCTCAGCGAGAGCTGGGCTGGGCGGGGACCCGCAAGAGGCCACCCGCAGCCCATGCCCCATCCGTCTCTCCTCTCCTGCAGGCTGCAGGGGCAGGTGGAGGGGTGCTCGGGATCTCTGGGTCTGGGTAGAAGTGTCAGAGCAGCAGGGGAGGGGCGGGGGAGGTGCAGCCGCAGCCCCTGTCGCCCCTTTACACGGGTGGCTCGCTGCAGAGCACAATCTCCAGGTCCTTCCGGTACAGCTTTCCGGCCTCGGCCAAGGACATGACGCTCTTCCGGTAGTTGGTGAGCTGCTGGATGCTCATCTCCTAGGAGACACAGCCAGAGGGTGAGCGCGGGCTCAGGGGACGACCCCGACCAAACGATGCCCCCGTACATGCCAGCACACCCGTGCGAAGCTCTCTGTCACCTGATGCCAGCGCACCTGGCGTGGCGGGGGCTATGGAGTCAGACCGACCCGGGTTAAGCCCTCTCGCTTACTTGGCTGCATTGCTTTGGGGAAAGGAGTCACCCTTTCTGAGACTCGGCTGCCTCACCTGTAAAATGGGTACGCTAGTAGAACTTGCCTCACCCAGCTGTTAGGATTAGCTGAAGGCACAGCACCTGAGGCATGGCGAGCCCTGCGTACAGTGGTAGCCGTGGTGATGACTATTATCTGTGCACGGTCTGGCTGTACTTTTCCATCTCACCGGGCTTCCACGCACTCAGAGCCGACCTGGGTCCCTGCAGGTGATGGCAAGAAGGCCAGGCAGAGTCCCCTGCTCCTGCCTTCAGACCTCCTGACCACACTCCCCAAGCTTCCCCACTGAAACCAGGAACTCTAAATCCTGCCTCCTCCAGCAACGACACTCGCCAGCCTACTTCTTGTTCACTGGTTTCTTTCTTTCTTTTTTTATTTATTTGACAGGCAGAGTTAGACAGTGAGAGAGAGACAGAAAGGTCTTCCCTCCGCTGGTTCACTCCCCAAATGGCCGCTACGGCTGGTGCTGCACCGATCCGAAGCCAGGAGCCAGGTGCTTCTTCCTGGTCTCCCACGCGGGTGCAGGGCCCAAGCACTTGGGCCATCCTCCATTGCTCTCCCAGGCCACAGCAGAGAGCTGGACTGGAAGAGGAGTAGCTGGGACTAGAACCCAGCACCCATATGGGATGCCGGCGCCGCAAGATTAACCAAGTGAGCCATGACGCCAGCCCCCGTCTTGTTCACTGATTTCATGCAATCTTCAGGGGCCCCTAAGGCAGGGCACCCATGAACTTGTGCCCACAGTCTCAGGGAGAGGGAGGCCAGTGTTACAGAGGATGCCGCCTCCCGCTGCGCCTTGGCGTGGATGCACGCCGGGCGGTTCCTGTGTGGATACAAACAGCCTGTGGGGCTGAGACGCAGCGGGGCCAGCACAGGCGTGAAGATCTGAGCGTCTGTCTTTTCCTTCTCTTCCCTGCCCCCTCCGCCTCTGCTGCCTTCCTCCTCCTCCTCCTCTTCCTCCTCCATTCTACTACTATTTATTTTCTTGCAGAGAAAATGCTGGACCGGTACTTTTTTAAAAAACACTTCCCCTCCCAGGCTTATGGGTCATTATTCCATGACACAAATGAGAAAACTGAAGCTTAAAAACTAAGAAATTCAAGGGTTGGCCCAACTCAGTGGCATAACTCTGCTCAGTCTCCCGTGGCCTGGAGTCCATCTGATCGCCTACCTGGTCACCTGTCCCCAGGCCCCTCTTGCTCAGTGATGGTCAGTCTTGATTTAGGACATCCGCTCTGGTGAGCAATGCCTGATTTTGTGCCACTACCTGGCCCAAGGATGCTTCGCAGCCACAGCGAGCTTTGGGGGACATCTTCCCCGATGGTGGGAAGTCCCCTAGAAGCATCAGCTAATTCTCAACACGGGGGTGCGCCCGAGCCATCTGCTACCCAATTAGAATTCAAGGAAGGGACCCCAGAGCTCATCTTGGAGCTTAACACGCCCACTGTGAAATGTGGCTGCAGGAGAGTGAACAGTGCGGAAAGAGGGGCTGCTTCCTCTCTCTGTCTAGAAGGTTCACTTGAACCCGGGGAGGGCTTTGGTGAGCGGCCATGGCCTCAGGCGCGCTGAGAAATGTGGAAGCTCAGTCCCGTCGGCCTGTCTCTGCAGGAGCCTCGAACTTTACCGCAGTCCATGGAAGCATCAAAAAGGAACAGGTCTCTGCTCGAGGGTTCCCAGCTCAGGCACTGCTGTGTCGTCAAGCCTCTCTCTCCCCCTTCTCTCAGAACCCAGGTACCCAGTCCGGAGCTTGGCACAGGTGGAAGGCTCACAGGTGAACAGCTTTATTTATTTCTTAAAGATCTATTCATTTATCTGAAAGTCAGAGCCACAGAGAGGCAGAGGCAGGCAGAGACAGGTCTTCCATCTGCTGGTTCACTCTCCAAATGGCCACAATGGCCAGAGCTGAGCTGATCCAAAGCCAAGAGCCAGGAGCTTCTTCCAGGACCCCCATGAGCATGCAGGGGCCCAGGGACCTGGTGCACCCTCCACTGCTTTCCCAGGCCATAGCAGAGAGCTGGATTGGAAGTGGAACAGCTGGGTCTCGAACCAGCGTCCATATGGGATGCCAGCATGGCAGGTGGTGGCTTTACCTGCTTCGCCACAGCGCCGGCCCCAAACAGCTTTATTGATATCCTCGTTCTGGAACCCTCAGAGTTGCTTCTGAACCCCAACTCCTGCATCTTTAACGTTTTCACATCTGGAGCCTGCCTGTGCAGCCACATGCCGATGTCCTTTGTGTTAATCAAGAAAGGGATTAACAAGTTCATGAGCAGGAACTCCAGGTCCCTCTGAGATTTGAGCCAGGCCTTCAGGGTTTGTCAACCTCAGGGGCAAGCCAGGGCCTTGTGAAGACTAATTACGCTTCATCAATCCAATTGCAGTTAAGGATATTTTTCATGATGGTGGCCGACATTCCTGGGACACATAGAGGGTGCATAAGTAGTTTTCTTCTAGAATTTGGCGCCAGGAAAAACATTTGCTGCATTCAAACACCTGGGAGCACTTCCTTCTTCCTGCAAAGTGTTTGCTTCTTTACGGCTTATTTTCTGCCTCTTTCAGAAGAGCAATTGCAGGTAACATTAAAAAATAAATGTGGGCTGAAGTGCATGAGGGATGATATGCAGGACAGAGATAAAGAGGTCAGGAGACACTTGGAAAGGGAGACAGATAGACTCAGAGGCCGCAGTGAATTTTCTCCTGGAATTGAGCATTAAATTTAGCTCCTGCTTGGCAGCCAAGGCAGGCAGACAACTCAAGGAATTATAGAGCTTTCATCCTCTAATTAAAGAAAGCAGCAAAGCCATTTGCTCGGTGAAAGACAAGTTCCAGAGGCGCAGACAGACAGCTGCAGACTTGGTCTCCTGCTTGCTGTCCCAGCCGACCCCTCCCAGCCAGTGCACCTGGCTGAGCCCAACGGAGGGTCCCTGGGGTGTTCCCCAGAGCCAAGCCCCTGGCAAAACAATGGCATTCACTCCCTGCAAACCAGCAGGGGCTCCTCTTAGCCCCTTCCCCAACTTCCGCAGATTCCGCAGAATCCCTGTCCCCTCGCTCCTAACTTGGTCCCCGTGTAGACGATCTTTGTGATGTCGGCGGCCACGTGGCTGACACTTCCATGAGTCAGGCTGGGTCAAAACCCGCCTTTGCCCCCCTGCTGCCCAGCAGCCCAAGGATGGACGCGATGCATGTGTCCACAGGCGAGGGCTGGGTAAAGGAAGCATGGTCGATGGGCACAAGGCAGAGTGAGCCAGCTCCAAAGGGAAGGGCACCTTCAGGACAGGGTGCCAAGTGACGCCAGCCAGTCGCCAAAGGATCGCGGGATTTCCCCACCCACGAGACGCCCAGAGCAGTCCCAGTTAGAGGCAGAAAGTGGAGCAGTTGCCAGGAGGGCGGTAGGGGCGAGAGGGGAGTTGGTGTCTCGTGGGGTTTTGCAACATGAAGACGTCTGGGGGTACAGGGCGTGATGCTTACACGGCACTCGGAGCGTACGTAATGCCACTGAGTTGCGCAGTTAAAAATGAGTAAGAAGCTACAGTTTGTGTGAAATATATTTCAACAAAATTCAACACAAAAAGAATACTCACTCAATGGACCCGAGCCAGGAAGCAAAACCGAATGCCAAACCAAAGCGAATCACCCCACCACGGCCTTGTTACGGTGGCTCAGAGGGAGCAACATGCAGCGAGGCCCTGCCCTCCGCCGCCCTGGAGGAGCCCTCCCGTCCCCCAGACATGGCCCCCGCCCTCACCTTCTTGTTTTTCTCGTACAGATCCTTCAGGAGGGCGTCCAGCTCGTTCTCATCAATGTAGCCACTGCCGTCCTGGCGAGGGGCGGAGAGTCAGCTCAGAGCCCCGCGACAGGCCCGGCCACCCAGACCTGGCCTCGCGCTTCCCTCCACCCTCTCAGGGACGCAGGGACTCGCCTTCCTGCCGCTCTCAGAAGGTGTCTGGACCCTATAAGGACACAGCAACTCCCCGCTTCTCTCTCTACCTGGTAGGCAGTGCACGCCATGCACAGCCTTTCCCTGAGGTGTTTAAATTTGCACTGAAGATGCAAACGGGGTTCCAGAAGCATCTGGTTAGCTCCCTGAGTGTGTGTGTGTGTGTGGGGGGGGCTAACGTTCACTTCAACCCTTAGCGGAGCATTAGCGTCGCGAGGGCGGGGGAAGGCTCGGGTGAGCAAGGAGTCCTATCTCATGGCACCATCAGTGTCCCAGGCCAAAGCTGGCTCTAGTGTAGAATTATGATCTGACACCGGAACAGCACCCAGTGTCACCTGTCTTTGGGTCCCGATGATGTAATCACACCTTAGCTGAGAGCACAGCTCTCTTCCACTATTCTCCGCTGCACTTATGTTTTTTTCTTTTGAATTTTATTTAATTGAGAGGCAGAGAGAGAGAAACTTCAATCTGCTGGTTCACTCCCCAAATGCTCACAACTGTTAGGGCTGGGCCACAGCCAAAGCTGGGAGCTGGAAACTCAATGCAGGTCTGTCCCGTGGGTAGCAGGAACCCAGTCACTTGAGCCCAAATCGCTGCCTCCCAGGGTCTACCTCAACAGGAAGCTGGAATCAAGAGCCGGAGGCCAGTATCAAACCCAAGGACCGCGGGTGTGGGACGTGAGCATCTTAACTGGTGTCTCAATGACGGAGCCAAACAGCCGCCCCTCTGGCCTCGCTTTTGAGAAGCCGGGACCCTGGGCTGCACAGGCACAGACTGAGAACGCCGTCTGTCTTCTCAGGCAGCCGAGGATGCTGCAGAATCACTCGGGCCACGCAGCCCCTCGGCAAAGCCCACTTCCCTCTGTGGGTGCAGCCGAGCCATTCTGCCCGGGCTCCCCGGGGCGGGGAGGGGGGTCTCGGTCTTCTCCCTCCCACACTGTGCTCCCTCTCACCTTGTCATAAAAGGTGAAGATCGCGTTGAACTCCTCCGAGGTCAGCTTCATGCCCTGTACCGGAGGAAGCCAAGGTTCCGAGTGTGGGAGTGGGTGCATGCCGGGGGGGAGGGGGCATGGGGAAGAAGGGAGGGTGGCAGCTGAGGCTCACAGAGGCGAGGGAAGGGAGGGGTGGAGAGAGCCAGGCGGCTCTTACCTGGAACTTAAGCAGGAAGTTTTCCTGTACAGGCAAGAGTCTGGGAAGAGAACGTTAGAGCAGGGGTCAGGAGCAGAGCACGGGCAAGGAGCCCCGCGGACCGCGGTGTCCGCGCCTGGCCTGGGGAAGTGACCTGGAGTGACCGGACAGTGCAGGGCAGAGGGGGATGGACCAAGTGGTGTTGGCGTCCCCAGTTCTGTGTGGCTTTGTCGCGAGCATCCCGACACCGGGACCTGTCCCATTCCCCGTCCCGTTCCCCGCGGACTGCTCTCAGTGCAGCGCGGGGGGGTCTCGTCAGGAGTGGTGCTGGGTGCGAGGGCGGGCGCTTACCGGGACATCTCCGACAGGCCCAGTTTGCCATCTCCGTTCAAGTCAAACATCCGGAGCTGCAGGGAGAGGGAGCGGGGCTGGGGTTTCTTTGACCTTCCTCGTAGGGAAACATTGCCTGCCATCTTCCTTCCCCTGGCAGCCAGGGGCTCCTGTCAGCCCCCACCCTCCGGGAGGGGGTGCAGCAGAGGGTCCCTCTTGCTGCTGTGTCCCCTTTGCAGGGACTGTGGTGGCTGCTACGCCGCAGGCCAGCACCCAGGGCTACCTTTCTCCGAGTTTTTTTTTCCCTTTCTTGGAGCTGCAGAGGTTGCCATGGAAACAGACGCTCCCCAGTCTCCTAAGGGCTCAGGAGTCAGGTCAGTGGGAGCCTCAGAGAGCAGGTGTATGGCGGGGAGGGGGGGGCCTGCCATTGTGTCCCTTTCTGCTGACTGCCACCACCCGGGCCTGGAGAGTCTGCCCAAGGAGCCCCGCCCAACTGGGTCCCGGCGGCACGGGGCCCACGGCCTGTACCCGCGGGGCCGAGGCGCACTCCCGCCCACTCACTATGGTGTGGGTGTATTCCTGGAGCTTGGCTTCGTCATACGGCCGGTTGGCCTTCTTCAGCAGGTCAGACAGGAATCCCTAGAAGACAAAAGGCCACTCCAGGACAGGCTCGTTCGTTCAGCCCCGCAGTCACTCACTCTCCTGGTCATTCAGTCCCTGTGGTTCTGAGCTCTGCCAACGACAGGGCTCCTGTCCATCATAGCTCCCTGGCCCTGTGACCCTCGTGAGTGACCGTGAAGGCCTCAGGTCACCTTTGGGTGCTATCTTCTCCCCCTCCCCGAAAACAGGTAGCAGAGCCTGGGCTGCCTTCTCAGAGTCCAGGATACGGGGCTCAGAAGTGCCTGGGGTCACTGGTTGGCCAGAGGAGTCTGGGGGTGAATGGACCAGCCAGGAGGCCCACCTTTGGGAGCCACCTCGCAGGTGCCTGTCCCGGGCCCTGAGGTGCCAAGGGCTGTGGTTTGGGTGAGCTCTGTGGCCTTGCGATGCCACATGGCTGATTTCACACAAATCCAACAATTCAGAGCTGGCTTGAGCATTCCTAAGCAGGGCGCAAACTCACACCCCTCGTCCCAACTCTCCTTCCTCCCCAAGTTCCTACACCCACTGCCAGCTCTGGCCTCGGGCTCCTTCTCAGCGCCCGCCATACCCTCCCAAGGCCCATCCTACCTTGAGCTCGTTGGCTTCGATGTAGCCGCTTCTGTCCGTGTCGTATTTCCGCCAAGCCTGCAATGGGAAATGTCACATCAACACCTACACAGCTCCCCGCCCTGCCTGTGGATTGACACCCTGGATCTTGGTATTTAGAATGCTATAGTGGGTGGGGTCACAGAGGTGGGGTAGCCCAGTCCCTTCAAAGTCCCAGAGGAGGAAATTAGGGCCAATGTCTTGATCAAGGTCGTACAGAGAAGGAGAAAAACTGCTTGGACAGGAGTCCCTACCCTAACTTGGTACAGGCCTAGGTCTTTCTTCGGATAATCTTTAACCAGGGTTGATGCTTCTTCCTATGGCGTTAGCCAGGCAGCTTCCACCAGGGCTAGCACGAGGGACTAGTAGCTTTTGCTACTGCTCTGGAATCTTCTCAGACTCTCGCTGGGGGCAGGGAAGAGCCCTCTGGAAGGGGCAGGAAGAGGCTGTGGGAATGCTTCAGCATGCTGCCCACTCCAGGAGGTATATGGCGCCACGTCGAATGACGAAGCAGAACTGGAAGTGTACGCGGCTCTTTGTAGACGACCCCAAAGCCACTCCCCTACTTTCCCGATTTTAAAAGCACCGCCATCTTGTTGTTTTGGAAATCACCCATCTCCCACTCTCAGACCACGTGGTTCCAGGGCAACTGGCCCCATCTCCAGAAGTAGACTTACGACCCAAGCCTGGGAGACACAGGAACACGCCTCCCTGGGTCCCACCTACAGTGGTTCTGGGCTCTGATCTGAGTCCCAGTTGTTTAGTGCTTGTGTTGGATTCCTGGGAGGAGCCGGGGCACAGCCTGCTGACCACAGCACCTGGGGTCTGTATCTCTTTGATGGAGAGAGAGAGTTTAAGCAGGGACGTGGGTCTGACCACCACCTTCCCCTCTGTTCTGGCCATCTGGGCAGGGGCAGGCACTGCTACATATGCCAAGGAAGGAAAAATAGTAGCCGTGGGTTTAAGATGTCCATAAATCCTCCACCTCCTTTCCCCTTGCTGGAACACGGGCTGAACTTAGTAACTCTCTTCTCCCGCGCGCAGTGTGGCAGATAGGCCGCTGGGTGGCTTCTGACACTAGGCCATAAAAGGTTCTGAGACTTCCTTCTCGTTTTGTCTTGGATCACTGGCTCCGCAGGAAGCTGGCTGCCACGGTGCAGGGATACTGAAGCAGCCCCGTGGGAAGGCCCACATAGTAACCGACCGCACCTTCCTGCTGACAAGTGCGCCATCTTGGAAACATGCCCTCTATCCCCATTGGGACCTTCAAATGACCGTAGCCAAGCTGGCATCTTGACCATGACCTCACGAGAGGCCCTGAGCCGGAACCACCCACCTAAGCTATTTTCAGATTCCCGAGCACAGCCAGTGTGAGATAATAAATGTCCACTGCTTTGGGCTGCCCAATTTTGGGGGTAATTTCTTATACTGCCAGACCTACAGTAACCAATGGAAGGATGCTTCAAATAATTCATGGGAAACAGAATTAAAAGATACGTTTGGTGCAAACGGTTTTTTTTTTAAATCGTGCATAGTTTTTTCTTTAATATCCATTTTCATGAATTTTTGGAATAGCCCTCATATGCACGGATTTCAGAATGTTTTGCATGCAATGATAAGCTCATTTTTACTCCCATTTTTCATGAGTATTTTGGAATCCTTTGGTGCCCCAAACCAGCAGTGCATGGCTTTTCCGACCTCTGCACCGCATCTCCACCCCATGCGCCCTTTCTTGCCAGGACGGCTGGAGTTCACGGGTATTTCAGGGTCTTCGCAGCAGCACATGAGGCTGTGGAACTGCCACACCTCATCAGCGCCAGGGCTCAGGATTTCCTGTGTCCAGATTTTTTTGTTTTCCCCTAAGTTCTGAGCAAATCCCTGTAAGGGAGTAGACTTACACCACAATTTGGGTAGACGGTATTTGATTACAAGCATGCTTTTCTCTGAAGAGAAAATGCCTTGGGATCCATCAAAATCTTCCTTCCAGGGACAGGCGCTTGGTGCAGAGGTTAGGGTATCACTCAGGGTGCACGCACCTCATGTCGCACCTCATGTCGGGCTGCCTGGGTTCGAGTCCTGGCTCTGCTCCCAATTCCAGGTTCCTGCTGACGCACACCCCGGGAGACAGCAGGTGATGGGTCAAGTAGTTGAAGCCCCCATTGGGTCACAAAGGAGACCCAGACTGGCTTCCTGGCTCCTGGTGTCAGCCTGGCCCAGTTGGTGCTGTTGTGGGCATTTGGAGAGTGAACTTGCGGATGGGAGAGCTCTCTCTCTCTGCCTGTTTCTCTGTCACTGTCTCTCTGCCTTTCAAGTGAATGAATGAATGAATGAATGAAATAGTCCTTCCTGTGCCCAGAAAGCTTCCCTTGAACAGGCTTCCAAACAGGACTGCACCAGCCACTTGCGTGTACTTAGCGCATTGAGCTCTTCTAGGTTGAGCCTGGACTGAGAAAAGATACAGAAGAACCCCAGGAGTGTGAAAGGGGGACAGGGGGACCCCAGTCCTCACACAGCACAGCAGCCAGAGGCTGCTTCCCCAGTGACCAGGCCGGCGGCTCTGAGTCCCCTCTGCCTAGGCCCGCCCCATGCGGATGCTGGCTCCGGGGCGCCCCTCCAGCCCACCCTCCTATGTGTCCCTTATTCTCCTCCCATTCAAGGAAAAAGTTCAAGAGACCCGGGCTTTATGAAATCTCACAAAGAAATCCTGAGGCGTCCCTAAAATTAGACGTTGTGCTGGGCTGTGGGCAGGGAGCCCGCGGGAGGTTTCCTGTCTCCCGTGGGGATAACAAGGCGCGAAGGGACGGCCCCAGCAGGGACGGCCTGTCTGCGAGGGGCCCCGGGGTGCTGGCTTTGCTGTGGAGCTGAGGCTTGGAGGGATGAAGGTGAACTAGAAGCGGCACTGTGTCAACCACACACACAGAGAAACCGGCAGTGGTCGTGAGAGAGAGGGACCGCGCAGGGGAGAGGAACCTGGCGCTTTGTACTTCTCCTGAAGCATTTCCATGCCCTGCGAAAGACCCTCATCCCTGCGGGGCAGAGGCCGGTTTGTGGTGCTTCCTCACCAGGAAGGGAGGGGGCTGGGACCCCTGTTCTGTAGGCGCGACGCTCGCACCAGCAGTACCCGACTGCTCACCTGACCCCAGCAAGCAAGAGGCCAAGAATGGAAGCCAGAATGCCAATCGCCGGCCCGTGGAATCCTGCCCTTTCGGAAAAAAGTGGAGCAAGTCCTTTAAAGCGCCACACACTTACATCCATTTCCACTGCTGGGGCTGTGGGGACGACTCTTCCACCCTGGGAGCTGGTTCTTTCCCACCGACCGCCTGCCCACGAGGGAACTCACGGCCAGGTGGGGTTCTGGACTCACTCTTCGGTGGCTTTGCGCAGCGGAGTGTGAGAGGCGTGTGCACGGTCGGAAACGGATCTCACCTGATGACCGGCAACCGAGCCACGTGGAAGGCCGGCCATGATTTATGAGAGCAGCAGTTGTGTGGTGGGGACTGGCTGAGGGCCGTGTGCACGGAGTGGCTCAGGTGCACAGTCCCAGAAACATGGCACAACATAGCTGGGAGCTTGGTGGACGGCAGGATTAGTAATACATTGGGTCAAACCATATGGAGTTTCCAGGTTTCTGAGTGACCTCAAAGAGTTCAATCTATTGGCTGAATATTATTCAGAAGACAGTGCGTTTAAATGTTCTATTTCACATGCGATCTCAAAGAATTTCTACTGCAAAGAAGGCAAGACCCATTTTAACGTGGGGCTACGGAGCCCAGACCACGAAGCTCAGACCTGCAAGACGCTGGAGACTGGACTCCTCACGGGCTTTCCTGGCTTGACTGATGTATTCGAAAGGCAGAGAGAGACAGACAGACGGCCAGGCAGAGACCTTCCATCCCCAAATGCACACACACACTGGTGGGGGCTGAAGCGAGGCACTCAATCCGGGTCTCTCACGTGAGTGGGGGGACTAAGGGCCTGAGCCATCACCTGCTGCCTCCCGGTGCACATTACTAATACAGGAAGCTGCACTTTGAAGCCAACTGGAACTCGAACCAGGCACTCCAGTATGGGATGTGAGCGTCCCACACAGCGACCTGATCCCTGTGCCTGCCCCTTTCTTGACTTTAGAATGGTACCCATGCCTTTTTTCCCAAGCCTGCTCCTCAGAACTCTGACTGCAGGGGACATAAGCGTCCCTGGGTGCTGGGACACCCCAGGGCCACGGTGCGTGAAGCAGGTGTCTCTGCTGCAGCATTTCTCAGAGTGTGCATCAGCAGAAACCCACAGCAAATCCTCCAGTGGGAGATGCGTTTCCCAAATGTCCTTGACCCAAGCTTACTTGTCAGCCTCTTCCCCACACTTTAAACGTGCACCCACGTCACCCAGGGAGCTTGTTAGGATGTGCACTCTGATCTTGTGGGTCTGGGAACCCGACTCTACGGCAAGCACCCGCGGGTACTGATGCTGCCAGTCCACCCCAGAGCTCTCAGGGGCTTAGCATTTCCCGGGACCACGCCCAGACATCTGCGTGAGCCTGGCTCTGAACCCAGGAGGAGGGCGGGTCCCAGCGTGCAGCGTGCAGGCAGCCCCTGGCCTCACCTCCATAAACTCGGCGCTGGAGCCCACGTGCTGTCTGAAGCACAGCAGGAAGTTCTCTTCAGTCGGGAGGATCTGCGCCAGCTGGGGAGATAGGGAGAGCGACACCCGCGTTGCAGAGCGGACCCGCAAAGGGAAGACGCGTGCTCTGAGAAGCGCCAGTGGTCCTTACAGTAGCCAGGGACAGGGGCACCGGGCTCAACGCAGTGCTTAAGAGATGGTTCTGGTCATCTGAAATCCTACAGAATGTGAAGGGAGCTAAGGAGAGCGAGGGCCACCAGGGCTGAGGTGGCGGAGTGTGGCAGCAGGAACCTCTGGAGGGCGACAGAAAAGCTGCGTCTTGATGTGGTGGTGCCTGCGTGGTCTAAAATCCACACTCAGGGAACTCTACATGAACGCTGCTTATTGCACGTAGACTAATACCTCAGTGACCCCATTTTCAGAGATGCAAGTACGCTTGTCCAGCAGGCATTGCAGGCTGCTCAGCCCAGCTGGCCTCCCCTCCCACCTTCTCATGCTCCCGGAATCTTTGGGTCACAGGCAAATCCCGAGTAAGGCAGCTCCGTGAGCTCATCCCATTCCCCTGGCCGGTGACGGGGAGGCATGGGACCCAGTCTCACCAATGCAACAGGAGGGAGGGACTGCTAAGGGCGCTCCTGGGAAAGAAACCTTTCGGCCACAGGACATTTGCATGTGACACCTGGGACTGCTGTGGCCACCTTGCTACCAGGCTTAGAGGGAAGGTGTTCGGGGGGCAGAGGACAGAACCAAGAGGTCTATAGAGAAATGAAGCTGGAGCCCTGGCCTCTTTGACCTGGAGCCAACCCTACTCATGTCCTTTCTCGCTAGGAGCCTCTCCTGGCTGAAGACTGGAGTCGCTGAACCACAACCCATGGGCCAATGAAGTTTTACTACAACATGCCCATGTCTGGTCATTAACTTACTGCCTCTGCCGGCTTTTCTGCTACAAGAGCGGAGCTGAATCTTTATACAAAATCTCTGATCTTTATATAATCTAATCTCTGTTGCACTGAGTTGGAGTTTTCTGAGATTTGCAGCCTGAGCATCGTAAGGTCTCCTCTTGCTGCGTCTCCCAGGCGCTCATGAGCTAGGCAGCTGTGCCACCCCTCCGAGGCTGTGAAGGTTGACTGCTCACGGCTGCCCCCTGCAGGACAACAGCAGAGCTCTCCCACTGGAATCTGGGTCAGGTTTTATGGGGATGTCTGAGCTAAGGCGGCATCCCTAGCGGTACACTTCCTGGGGGAGCTGTGGCCCAATTTATGAGCCTCCATCATCTTTCTTGACCTGATCCTGTCTCCCTTCCCACCTTCTCATGCTCCCAGAATCTTTGGGGTCACAGGCGAATCCTGAGTAAGGATTTCCTTGATCCTGGAATGCAAACTGCCCATGAGAGTGTTTGATATGATTATGTCTTCACTATCTTATGTAAGGGAGGGAGAGTGTATGCGTGTGTATGCATGTATGAATGATGTGTACTAAGGATGTATACATTGTATGTGGTACGTCTGAATGTGTAAACCACCTATGTAATCCGTGTGGTTCTATACACACACAGGCTGGGTTCATCACGCCTTTGCAGCACCCCAAGGGCACTTCAGGCTTCTGCCCCTGTCTTAGGCCACTGTCGCTTCATTTTCCTTTGGGGGACACACAGGGAAAGCGCCACCTGTCCTCGGTGGTCAGCGCAAGTGCTGGGGGCAGGGGCGTCAAGGTTCCGGGGCGGGCGACGGCACGCATGCGCCCGGGAGAAGCGCGGGGCGTGGGCACAGCCAGCCGCACAGCGCTCACCTCTGCCATCTCGATCTTGCCGTCCGCGTTCTTGTCGTACTTGTGCATGAACTCCTTCATCTTCTCCCCGAAGCTGTCGCTCTTGGACATCTGTGGGAAGGAGGAGGGGGCACGGCTTGCTGCTGCCTGGCACGCGGAGCACGGAGCTCCTCCCACCTCCAGGCCATGGCCCGTCCATCCGGGCCAGCTCTGCCTCTGCTTCACCGTCCCGATGCCTTCTGGGTGGCTGGGTGCTTCCCAGGACTGGGCCAAGGAAAATTCTAGCAACGCTGAGAATCTTTTCTTAGTCTCTTTTATTACTTTGTACCTTCGCGACTGGTTTCAATTTGCCAACACTTACCTGCTGATCGGTACATATCTATGTATGGGCAGTATACGTCCAGGGGTTTTTCACATAGGTAGTCTGAAACTACGAGGCTAGTGGCCTCTCAGTTTTACATGAAGCCAGGGTGAAGTGACTTCTCTCCAGGTCACCCAGGTAGCATGGCCCGATGGGAACCCCTGGCTCCTGCTTCCAAGGCCCCGTCCTTCCTGTCTGGGGACCTGGCCTGCACGGCTGGTAAGATCGTCATCGCCAGACTTGAAAACCACCCGGTGCCGTCTGAAGGCGGCCACGACTAAGGGAGGGGTAGTAGGTTTGCAGCGCTCCGTCAGTTCATCGCACTCCACCTGGCCCGCGAGCCCAGACCCAGTTTGGGAGCCTGGGCTTTCCGTGCTTTGGGCTTTGTCGTTCTAGTAACGGGGGCTGGAGAGGGAACAGCTGCTGCGCGAACCCACGAACCCCACCCGCCTCTCCTGGGAGCTTACACTTTCACCTCCTTCATTTTGGGGATTCGCCACTGAGCCCTGACCCAGGAGCTCTCCAGTGCGTCTGTGACTCCTCTCCCACCGGCTCCCTAAGGAGTTGCTAATAAGCAGTAGATTGGCCGACAGACACGTGGCTGGGGAGGGTGGAGAGCTGGGCAGAGGACCTGAGGCAGCTGGAGGAAGCCAGTGGGCCTGCCCCAGGGCTCCCAGAGCTGCACACAGGGACCACACAGACTCAGGTTTAGCAAATGCAGCAGTGTCAGGTTGGCCCCGGGGTGGGGGGATGGGGGAGGCAGCATTCTGATCACAAAGTGCCTGGGGCACGCTCTGGAGTCTCCTGGAGCAGTCGCGATGGCTGTGACACCCCCATGAATGAGCCGGTCAGGACCACTGGCTCCGAGCAATCCTCAGTTTTCCTCTGGGTCCGTGCTGAGGATCCCAGCCTTCATTGGTTCTCCTCTGAGAACGACTCTGCTGTCCCCCAGCCAGGCGACACTTGACAATGTCTGGAGACGCTCAAAGGAGGGTGCCAGTGGCATCTCAGGGAGAGATCTGGGGACGCTGCTGAACATCCGACAGGGCACAGGACAGCCCCCACCCTTCCCGACACTGAACTGTTTGGTCCAAGAATTGACAGATGCCCACGGAATCTGCAGGATGGTTGAGAAACTCTGGTCTGGAACAAAGGCATGCGAGACTGCCCGGCCATCCAATCTCGAGTCGTGATCCCTCGCAGCCTCCAGGGAGGCTGTGGACGTCACCAGTGGGGGGAAGATAACATTTATACCGTATATACTGTATATGCCAACACAGTCATGAAATTTTGCAGTTTGGGGGAGTTCATAACTCCTTGTACCCTTTCACGAACGCCCCTCAATCCCCGACACCCAAAGATATTGAGGCAGTGTTCTCTTAAGTGGATAGTACAATTTTTTTTGATCCATACAAATAAAATTCTAAGTGTCAAGACCAGAGATCTCAGCCCTGCAGGTGGGATGCCTTAACTTAGGACAGGCAGCGTCCATCAAGACCCCGGGGATCCCCAACAATGCAAGGGGCGGGGCTTACCATGCCAGAGCCTTTTCTTGCCTTCTCCAGCTCTTGGAAAAAGTTCTCTAGCTCTTTACCTTCAATATAGCCGTTTCCTACAAAGGCAAACAAACAGATCAACCTCGGAGCTTGTAGTAAGACCAACAGGAGTGGGCCAGAACTTCTCCCCACTGGTCTGCAGGCAGGCTGCTGGGCCAGCCTTGTTGGAGGGCCAGGGTTTGTCCTCAGGGCATCTGCGCCATAGACACCCCAGGGGCTCATGGGAGTGTGTGCTTGGGAAATGCATTAGGCAGCTGCGGTATCCTGGGCCGGGCCAGCAGGGGTGAGAGGAAGCTGGGGGCGGGGCTCCCTGTCAGGCCGATCCAGGCAAGCACTTTATGCAGAGGTCTGATGGGAGACAAGTCATCAGTGACAAGGCTTTTCAGCAGGTCAGAGGCAGAAGTTGGGTCCCTGAGGTTCAGAAGGTGGACTGAGCTGAAGGGTCCTCCGGAACCCATGTCCACCTGGAACCTTGCAATGTGACCTGGTTTGGACATAAGGTCTTTGCAGATGATGGGTTAGGGCAGCTCCTGACTCCCGTGACTGGTGCTGTCACAAGGAGGCCCTGTGAAGACACACAGACACGGGCAGCAGGCCCCGTGATGATGGACACAGAGACCGCAATGACACGTCCCCAAGCAAGGGACGTCCCGAGTCGCCAGCCAGCATCAGGAGCTGGGCGAGAGACACGGGCCAGATTCTCCCCCAGGGCCCCAGCAGGAACCCAGCCAACTGACTCCTGCACTTCCCACTGCCAGACTCCAGAGCTGGGAGAGAATAAATTTCCATCCTGTTAGGTTACCTGGTTTGTGCACTTTGTCGTGGAAGTCTTAGGAAATGAACGCAGAGGGCACAGTGATAAAAGAACGGCCGGGCGTCTGTCCTGTGGCATGGGGACACCTGAGACTTGGTTCCAGGAACTAAGGGGAGGGGGAGGCAGCCCACTGCACAGCAAGGAAGGGTGAGAGCTTTGAGGTCTGTGCTAAAACACCTCGTTCTGCTCTACTTACCCAACCGTGCGACTGTGATTTTACCCATGCATCTGCCAAATGGGTTATTATGATTAAATGGGGTTTTACACGTAAAGCCCATCACACTCCATTACGTGTGCACCACAAATGCTGATATCGCTTGGGTCCAGTGCCCAGAACCCGTGCACACAATGGGAATGAGCTTGAGGAAAAAGTGCAGCGCTCAGGACCAGACGCCAGGGTCAAAGCCTGACCCCAAGGCAGATCACACGGGGGGTGGAGGTCTTTTCGGTTCTTACAAGGGCAGAGCTGAGTCCACGGCCAAGGTCACCGGTCTGCCCTGGACGGGGAGGTGGGACTCACACGGGGCCACCGCGGTGCTTCCCACACTGTGCTGCACATTGGCATCCCCTGGGCGTCTCCACAGACTGTGGCTGCCCGACTCCCACCTCCAGACGTTCTGATGTGATGGGTTTGGGGTATGAACCAAGCATCACATAGAGATTTTAAAGCTCTCCAGGCGATGTCCGTGCCCCACAAACTTTGGAAACCCTAGCGTAAAGGCACGTTTCAAAACCAGTCTAAAGCGGCTGAGCAAGGTCCCCCAGATGGTCAACTTGAGCAGGAAAGGGGGATGGAGTTTTCTTCAAGGGCAAACGGAATTACAAACTTGACAAAAAACAAGACAAAACAAAACAAAACAAAAAAACCACCAGAAGGGAGCATTTATCCTGGTCTCTGGGGAGTGTGGGATGCGAGGAAGGAGGGGATGGAAGATCTCCCCTCCCTCTCTCCCAGCGCCCCTGAGAAGTTACATTTCTGAAATAACCTCAGAGGAACCCTCCAGTGGAGAGGAGGCCGCCATAAATATTGAATGGAGAGAATCACATGAGATAAATTATGGATTTCCGTCTGCACAGAAAGGATGTGACTGCCACGCCGAGGGGGCGGGGCTTGAGCTTCCTTTATTCCTGGGATGAGGGGGTCATCCTTCTTCTAGGGTGCTCTGCAAAGTGGAATTTTACAGGCCACTGGGGTAGGGATGAGGGAGTGTTGGGAAGAGGGCGTCATAGTCCAGGAGGCAGCGGTCTTGCTGGGTGCTGGGGCTGGGGCAGCTTTCGCTCCCTGGCCACTCCTGCAGTGATCCGGCCATTCTCCCCGTGCTTGGGTGCCATTTCCTCTTGCCTGGGAAGGCAGTCACTCCCTTGTCCCGGAGCCTTTGTGGAGTCAGGCGGGGCATGGGAAGCGCAGATCTGCGGAGCTCTGGGTCTGTCTGCGGCTTGCAGTAGCCTGAGGCTGGGCGGGAGGTGGGGCTCAGAGCAGGCACCCCGACTCAACGAAGCAGAGGCCACCGGGCTGGGCCCTGAGCCAGCCCTGGGCAGACACCCGGGTGAGTGTGTCTGTTTCAGGAGCGGCTGAGAGGAACTCGGGGTGAGGGAGGCAGTCTTGATATGGACAGGCAGGGAGCTGGGAGACGAAGAAGCCCGAAAGATTGCCAGCAGCCTCCAAGTTCCAGCCCCGCACTGCTACTTCCGTGCCCTCCCAACATGGCAGCAGGCTGGGCACCACCACCCGCATCCTGCGCCTGCGCCTGCGCCTGCGCCTGGCTTCCCATCATGCACAGCTCCCCGTGAGGGCCACGTGTGTGCAGCAGCGCCACATGGGGGCGCCAGGACCGCCCTGGAACCGGAAGCGGGCGGTACTTAAGCCCCGCCCAAACCCACGCCTGCACGCACGTCTGACAGCAATCCTGTTTTCCTGATGTCTCCTCGAATTCTTTGATGCATAGAGATGAGCCTGGAATAAGCCCCGCCAGGCACCCTGCTGCCCACCACAGTATGATGTTTCCTCTTATTTAGAAAAAACTTATTTATTTTACTTGCGAGGCAGAGAGAGAGAGTGCGAGCGAGCGAGCGAGCTGTCCCTCCATCACTGGTTCAACCCGCCAATGCCCCAGACCGGAGCTGGAAAAGGCGGGAACCAGGAACTCCATCCAGGTCTCCCACGTGGGTGGCAGGGACGCAGTTTCTTGAGTCGTCATGGCCACCTCCCAGGGTGCAGGAACTGGGAGCGAGCCAGGACTTGAACCCAGACACTGCTGCGGGGGCACGCGTGGCAAGCAGAGCCTTAGCCAGCACCAATTGCCTGCCTCGTGACGTGTGTCGAAGAGCAGCCTCCACTGAGCTCCGAGCGGCGCACCCCCCAGCCCCGCGGCTGTGCGGGGTCGGTTTCTTGCCCAGGCCCCAGAAGGCTCCCCAGCCCCTTCAGTTGCTGTTTCGGGAGTGGCAGAGCGACAGGCCCCTCTGGCTGGGGCACCAACACCTGCTTGTTGTTTCTTCCCCTATCAAATGGGGATTCCCGCCAGCTGCCGGGAAGGCTACATGGGAGAAGAGTCCATGGACAGTGCTGGCCCACAGCGAGGCTCAAAGCCCACCTAGGTCTAGGCGGGTGTCTCTGCCGCTGTCCCTGCTGGGAAGGCTTTGGCCTTGGGCTGCCTGCTTCAGCTTGGGCAGGTGGTGGTGGTGGTGGGGGTGCTGGCAGAGGGAGGCCACAGCAGGGCCAGCACTGAGCTATGCTCTTGAAACTGCAGGAAGCAGAAAAGCCCAGAGCGGTAAAATCACCTTTTGCTTGTTTTTTTTTTTTTTTTTTTTTTTTTCTGGGACTTGGCAAGCGAAGGTATTTATTTTTGCACTGTCTTGTTCTAGAAAGGCTTGAAGATGGTTCAGCAGCTTCCTGAACCTCAGATGATCCGCCGGCGCCCAGTCGTGTCAGGTGTCTCTGCACCCCAGCGACTCCCTGACAGGCACAGCACGCTTGCCCTCGTTCCCGGCCCCAGGAAGGATCTGGGGCCTCTCTGGGTGCTGTGAGGAAGACGAGGATGACCAAGACACAGCCCCTGCCTCCCAAGGGGTCACAGGCTCTCAGTCCCGCGGGCCCCAGCCCGGCGGGAGCAGCGCCTTCCTGGTGCCAGAACAGAAGGTGAGCGACCTGCTCAGGGTCCCCCGGTGAGGCAGGCCGGAGCCGGGGCGTCCTGGCCCCAATCCAGGTCCGCTCATTCCTCCCCTCGTCCACTCAGCAATTACTGTGCACCTCTCCTGTGCAACCTGGACGGGACGGGCAGGGCAGGCCTTCCTGGGAGGCCCCAGGCACTGGGCAGACGGGAGGGGGCAGGAGCGATGCTGGAGGCAGGGAGAGGGGCCAGGGGCTGGGGCCGTGACCCGGAGAAAGGAGCCCCCAACCCACCCCCAAACCTGGCTTGAGCAGCCTGGGCAGCAGGAGGCACCCCGGCTGGCCATGTCCCCTGCACTGCTAGGAATCCCCCCCTGCTCTCTGTGCACCCCAGTAACGGGAAGAGATGTGGCTCAATGCAACAGGTCTCCACCGGAGGCAGCCGGTGTGCAGCTGAAGGCAGACAGGGAGGGGTGGGGGGGAAATGAGCACACAGGAGGGCGTTCCCACTGTGTGTGTGAGTGTACATGAGCGTGTGAATGTGTGTGTGAGCGTGTGAGTGTATGAGTGAATGTGTGACCGTGTGTGTGTGTGAGGTGTAAGTGTGTGTGAGTAGGGGTGTGTGTGTGAGAGAGGGGTGTGTGTGAGCATGTGTTTGTGAGAGGTGTGTATGTGAGCCTGTGAATGTGTGTGTGAGTGTATGAGTGAATGTGTGACTGTGTGTGTGTGAGAGGTGTGTGTGAGAGGTGTGTGTGTGTGAGAGGTGTGAGTAGGTGTATGTGTGTGAGAGAGGGGTGTGTGTGAGCATGTGTTTGTGAGAGGTGCATGTGTGAGCCTGTAAATGTGTGTGTGAGCGTGTGAGTGTGAGTGAATGTGTGACCATGTGTGTGTGTGAGAGGTGTGTGTGTGTGAGCCTGTGAATGTGTGTGTGAGCGTGTGTGTGAGAGGTATTGTGTGAGCCTGTGAATGTGTGTGTGTGAGCATGTGAGTGTATGAGTGAATGTGTGACTGTGTGTGTGTGTGTGAGAGGTGTGTGTGTGAGCCTGTGAATGTGTGTGTGAGCATGTGTGTGTGAGAGGTGTGTGTGTGTGAGTGTGTGTGAGAGGTGTGTGTGTTTTGTTGCTTTGGTTTCCCAT